GCGTCCATACATTCGATTAAGCCTCGCTCGGCCCCGCTTGAGGCCGGCCCAGACCGAGGCAAGCTCGGCGCAAGAGGCCCGCCGCAAAAAGAGGACGACAGCGGACGCCCCTTGTCGACCTTGTTGCCGCCGATCATGCCGCACGACCTCGCGGGCTTGCGGGCCCGGTACCGGCGAACGTGTCGAGCTCGTTGATCCACGACGCGAGGCTGTCGAACCGTGTCGCGGGCGGTGATGTCGTACACTGTATCGGGGGGAGAGGTCAGTGTGCGTTCACTTGTTCAACGGGCACTATCTCGGGCCGACACTGAAGATGCCGTCGCCCGAGAGTGAGTAGGAGCAGGGACGCACCGAGGATGACGCCATGCGAGTGGAGTGGAGTGGAGAGGAGAGGAGAGGAGAGAGGGCGCGAGGACGCACAGCATGTGCCGCACAAACTCCTCGTCGTTGCCGGCGTGGCTGCGCAGGCCCGTCGAGACGACCTCGGCGAGCTCCTCGAGCGTCGTCGCGCGTTGCTCGGTCGCGAGCTGGAGGTCGGTCGGCGCGGCGCCGAGGGCCGCCAATTGCGCGCGCGCCTCGAGGATGCGCTCGTCGAGGTACGAGCTGCGGGCGAGGGCGAGGCGAGGGTCAGGACGATGCGTCTCGATGGACGGCGAGATCATGGAGATGGAGAACAAGAAGAGAGAAAGGTGGGACGCACAGCGAGACGCGGACCTCGCCCTCCTCGCGTCCGACAGCCGTCACGCCCGTCCCGCTCGTCGCAATCTCGACAAACTCCTCCATGACGACGGCGCGGCGCTCGGTGAGCGACAGGAGCTTGTGCGCGACGGTGTCGACGTCGTTCTGCGGTGCGAGGGACCGAGGTGGGCGGCCGTGTGGGTCAGGGCGGTTGGCGCGAGGGCGAGACGGGACGGGGCGGGGAGAGAGCGGAGAGAGAGGGGGACGCACGTCGGTCTCGGTGCTGCTGCCCGTCGTCTGCCCACTCGACGACAGCCCCTGCCCGACCCTCGACACCCTGCCCGCCGACGAGCCCGCGACGACCGCGCCCGGCAGCGCCTGCGCCGCGGCACGTCCCACCACCACCTCCTCCTTGTCCTCGCGCAGCATCGCGCCCTCCTCCTCGCCATGCTCGCTCTCCGGCACCTCGACCTCGATGTCCTGCGCGCCATCGCCTGGGCCGCCTGGGCCGCCGCGAGGAGGAGGAGGAGGCGGGCCGGCGGCGCCGCCGACAAGCGCCTCGTCGTAGCCCGAGTCGAGCGACGTGCGCGCCTTCTTGGCCGGGTGCGCCTCGAGCCCGTGCGCCTGCTCGTGCTCCGCGTGCACGGGACGAGGCGGCTGCGCCGAGGGCGGGACGTTCTCGTCTGCGGGCTCGAGCGCGCCCGCCTCGTCGTCGTCGTCGTTGTCGCTCGCGAGCTGGTCGACCTCGTCGTCGGCCTCGGCCTTGACGTGGACGGACGCGCGCTCCCGGCCCTTGGTGGTGTCGCGAGTGCGACTCGCGGTAGGCGAGGGCCGCTTGCTCGGCACGACGACGGCGGCGGCGGCGGGCTTGGGCTTTGGCTTGGTCGTCGACGAGGGGCGTGACGTCGCGCCGCCAAAGTGGGACGACGTGATGACCTCGCTCGACTTGGACTCGAGCGTGGCCGAGGCGGATGAAGGTGCGGCGGCGGTGTGGTTCGGGAGGGCAGCGAGGGGCGAGCGCGGGCGGGACGAGGTCGAGGTCGAGGTCGGGGTCGGGGTCGAGAAGGGGCGGAGCATGGTCGAGCCATCTGTGCACGGCGCAGGGGCGCGAGGGTGTCAGTTCTTCGGCTGAAGCAGCTCCTCGCGTGCGCGAGGCAGAGAGAAAGGCGAGGACGCACCGCGAGCAGCCAGAGGCCGGTCCTTCGAGCCCACCTTGAGCCCTGCGGCGCCTCCGAGGGGCACGACCTGCCCGGCGACGGCACCGGGCATCTCTGCCCTGCCCCTGTGGCCCTCGTGCGGCGGTGCGCGTGTGCGAGAGGGCGGGTTTGATGAGGCGGCGGCGGCTGGTGGCGGAGCTGGGGCGAACGGGGCGCTGGTGGACCCGGCTGCGCGGAATGCGCCGGGCGGCATGGCGGGGGTGGCTGGTGGGTGCGCTGGCTCGTGTGGCTTGTCGGGAGCGAGAGGGCGAGGTGAGAGGTCAACAAGCGAAGAGAAGGCGACCGCGACGAGGACGCGTCGGCTCGCTCTCAACTCCTTCGAGGGCTCTCGAGGCGAGCTGAGTGCGCTTTCAAGGTCTCTAGGAGTAGGCTCACTCAGCCCAAAAGCTCGCCGAGTAAGTGGGAGACGAGAACCGGTCGACGATTACACCTCGTCCTTGCCCGCTCTCCGCCCGACGTTGGTTTGACCCTCCCCGCCTCACCCTTCGCCGCGACCTCGCACCTGCCTGCCCGCCCCGACCCACCACGGCCATGCCCTCGCTCCGTGGCACCCTCTCGGCCCTCGCCCTCGCCCTCGCAGCCCTCTCAGCCGCCCCCTCGGCCACCGCCATGGGCACCGACAACAACCTCACCTCGCTCGCTGGCACCTGGTCCAGCGGCAGCGGCGCAGTCGTCACCGGCCCCGTGAGTCTCGTCTTCGGCCTTTGGGGCGTTCGGAAGGGCGCTCAAGCGGCGAGCGAGGGCGGGACGGGGAGGGCTGGGCGGGTCGAGCCATCGGACGATGCTGGCTCGAGCACGGCGGGCGCACCCTGCGCAGCGCAGAGCAAGCTTGCGGGATCGACTTGGGCGTGTTCACGCGCTGCCAGGCGGGTCTCGTGGCGCACGCAGGGCAGCGTCGCCGTCGCCTTGCGCCCGGACCCGGGTTGCGCAGGAGCACCCTCCTCGCCTACGACTCGCGCCATCGGAGCCTGAGCGCGCTCGTCCGCTCTACCGAGCACTTGCATCTCTGCGCCCGACAAGCACCCACTGACCACTGCCTCCTCTTCCCTCCCTCGCCCACCTCCCTCTCGACCCACCCCACCCACCTCGCTCGCTCAACCTTGACCGCGCACCGCAACCCTGCGCAGGGCTTTGCCGACCCGATGAACAACAACCGGCCGTTCATCTACCCGACCAACACGGGCATCGCCTACTCGTTCACCGACGACGGCTACTTCGAGACGGCGTGGTACCGCTTCCAGGCCAACGGTGCGTCGCCATCGCGCTCTCTCGCCCCTCGTGCTCTCGTGCCCTCGAGGACCTCGACTGATGATGGTGGCCCCCTTCGACGTGCAGCGTCCAAGCCGGCGTGCCCGACGGCCATGCTCTACTGGCAGCACGGCACCGTGCGTCCCCCTCTCCCTCCCCCTCCCTCTCTCCCCCTCGACTGAACTGACGCCCTCGCCGCCACGCAGTACTCGGTCAACTCGAACGGCTCGCTGTCGATGAACCCTCTCCCGTTCGCGTCCGACGGGCGCATCCAGACCGAGAACCCGTGCACGCCCCAGACGGCCGTCCTCGCAGAGTACGCAGAGTTCGAGATGTGGGACACGTGGGAGATCAAGATCGACTCGCACCACGAGGCCTACTCGCTCCAGGCCGTCAGGGCCGACGTCGGCAAGCTGCCGAGGTGCGTTCTCTCGCGCTCTCTCTCTCTCCTCTTCTTGGGTGGACGACGACGGCGACTGACTCTCGGGCTCGTCGCCCGCAGGCTCTTCCTCACGGTTCGCCCGCCGACCATGCTCCCGACTACGAGCCTGACGGCCGTCTTGTGCGTCGGCGCGCTCTCTCTACACGCCGCTCGAGCGCCGCTCCTCCCTCGTGAGGAGTAGCGCGACGAGCTGGACGTCTGTGCCGAATCGACGCTGACTCTCTCCTCGCTGTGCGCAGCAACGGCTCGGTTCCCTTGCTTTAAAGAACCGCCCACCTCTACGCGCGCTTCTCTCTCTCTCTCGACGGACAGTGCGTCGCACTCTCTCCTCCCTCTTCCTCAACTCGACCCGACCCTGACCCTACCCTCGCCCTCGCAGTTCTCTCTTCCCGGCATCCCCTTCATCCCCTTGTTCCCCTGTCTGCTTCTCCCTCCTTCCTCTCTCTCTCTGCACATGATCCCGAGCCTGCTGTTTCTGCGAGGAGGACGACGGAGGAGGAGGAGGAGATACTGTTGTGCGATAGGGCGGGCGAGAGGGGGGGAGGGAGGGGGTGGCAACCATGGACGCTTTTCCTGTGTGTGTGTGTCGGTGCTTGAGAGCTCGAGAGAGAGAGCGGCAGCGCTGCGCGAGAGCGTCTCTCTCGCGCGAGGAGGAGGAACCTCGGGCTCGCTTCGTCTTGCTCTCACCACCTGCAGAGCCCGGCATCCTGCCCAGCCTCGCTACAGCGCTACACATCTCCCGAGCACCCTCAGCCCCTTGCACCCGACGCCGCGCCCGCCCGCCCGCACCCCTCGACCCAAGGCTCGTCGTCAATCTCCCCACCTCGCACCCTCTCCCCCCTCACCCTCGTCCACCACCGCCCGCTGCCCACCGCTAGCCGACCATGTCCGACGCCGACTCTGCGCTCAAGATCGCCGCGACGTTCCTGCTCCAGTCCCCGCCGGGCGAGCGTGCGTCCTCGTCCCTCCTCCCCTCCTCTCCCTCCTCCCTCCCTCCCTCCCTCGTCCCTCCCCGCACCGCACCCGCACCGCACCGACACGAGCCCCGTCCGCGCACCCTCACTGACCCACCTGCCCCTGACAGTCGCCGACGTCTACGCCGACCTCGTCCCGCTCGTCGCGCCCCTCCTCGGCGCCGGCGCCGGCGGGCCCTCGGGCGAGGCGCAGCTCGAGGACGCGCTGCGCCCTGCGCTGGCCCAGTACGCGCGCGAGCAGCTCACGGTCGTTGAGCTCGAGGGGGTGGGAGCGGGCGGAAAGGGCAAGACGCTGCTGAGCGAGGCGAGCCGGGTCGAGGGCGAGGGCGAGGGCGAGGGCGAGGGCGAAAGGCATGTCGCGCCGGGATTGGGGAGCTCGTTCGAGTGGGACGCGGTCAAGGAGGTGCGTCGGCCTGTTCTCCGCTCTTCGTACTGCCCGCCTGCTCGAGCTCTCGCAGCTCGGCGGCGGGAACCGAATGACGCCGTCGCGACTGACGCTCAACCCCCCGGCCCCCTCCCGCAGACGGCCACCTCGCTCTCGCCGCTCTCGCCCACGCCCGACGCCGAGACCGAGTCGCTCCGCGCCGCGCTCGACACGCTCCTCGGGCGGTACACGGCCAACCACTACGCCGAGGGCGTCAGCGCCGTCTTTGCCCTCGACGACCCGGCGTACCCTGCCCCTCCCGCTCCCGCTCCTCCTCCTCCCTCCTCCTCGACCGCTCCTCCGCCTCCTCCTCCCGCCACCGACACCGACACCGACGCCGCACCCGCGACCTCCGACGACGAGGGCCAAACGGCGGCTGCCGACGCAGCCGAGACGGCCGACGCAGCCGAGACGGCCGACGCGGCCGCCGCGGCGCTCCCCGACGAGGGCGTCGAGACGGCCAACGGCGAGCCGGCGCCGCCTGCTCCGGACGAGGCGGCGCCCGAGGCGGCGGCCGAGGCGAGCGGCGAGGCCCCCAGCGCGGGCGAGGAGCAGAAGGAGGGCGAGGAGGAGGAGGTGGCGGCACCGGCGGACGAGGACGCCGAGATGAGCGCTGCGACGCCCGCTGCTGCTCCGGCTGGCGAGGGCGAGGGCGACGACGTCGCCGAGGTGGCTGTCCCGGCCGTCGCGCGCCCGAGCCGGCTCTTTGGCCTGTACCTCGTCGGCAACAAGTACAACCCGAGCAACTATTGGTGCGTCCCCCCTCCCTCTTTCTGCGGGCGCTCTCGTCCACGACGAGGACGCAGCTGATTCGGGTTCTCGGGATCGCGCAGGACGGGCCGCTGGCGGTCGACGTACACGCTCGACTGGGCAAAGGGGACGCTCGAGGGCACGGCAAAGGTCAACATTCACTATTACGAGCAGGGTGCGTCGGCCGTGTCTCTCTCTCGTCTCTGTGATGGCGTGCCCTCCTTTGCGAGAGGGCGCAGCCATGACTCGAGGGATGGCGACTCGACTGACCCGCTCTCTCCTGCGCGCACAGGCAACGTCCAGCTCTCGACGACGCTCAAGTCGACCACCTCCCTGTCGGCCTCTCCTGCGGCAGAAGCCGTCCTCGCGGCGCTCAAGGCCTCCGAGTCGTCGTTGCAGCGCCAGCTCGCCGACACGTACTCGACCCTGAGCGAGGGCGCGTTCAAGGGCCTCCGGCGCGCGCTGCCAAAGACGAGGAGCAAGGTCGACTGGGACAAGGCGGGCGCGTACAGGCTTGGGGGCCAGATTGGCGGCGGCGGGGCCCAGGGGCAGGCGTGAGCGCGGGGAGGAGCGGTCGAGGAGCGCTCGAGGAGCCAGGTCGGGTTTCCTCTCCGTTGGAACGCAGTACACGGTTCTCTCGCCTGTGCGGGCTCTACGTCGCCGTGCTGCCGAGAGTGCGAGCCGGCTCGAGCGAGCTGGACCTGCAGCGGAAGAGCATCTTCCTCGACAGAGCTGGAAGCTGGATCCCGGCTCCTCGCTCCTGTGCACCCCCGCTCGTGCGCCCTCGCTGCACTCGTGCCCTGCGCTATCTACTGCTTGACTCTGCACCGACACCGCCGCGCCGCACCCGCCTATCACTCGCCCGCATGAGCACCGAGCTGCCCGCGCCCTCACTCGTCGTCGCGTTCAAGGAGGTCGACGGCCACCAGGTGCACCTCGAGTGCCACTTGCCTGCGCCAGAGCACGTCAAGGACCCGTCAAAGCCTGTCCCGGTCGTCATCTGGTGCCACGGAGGCGGTGCGTCCACTCGTTCTCCTCGTCGCCGTTCCCCCCTCCCCCACCTCTCGACCTCGGAAGGTCTCCGAGCTCACCCACTCGCCCTGTTGCCTCCCTGTCCGCGCCCATCATTCCCTCGACGACGACGATGGCCCCTCACCCAGGCTTCTTCGACGGCGCCCGCACCGACTTTTCGCCCGCCAACCTCCTCCCGACCCTCGCACGCGGCTGGGCCTTTGTCGCGCTCGACTACCGCCTCGCGCCCCAGGTCACGCTCGAAGACGCCCTCGACGACGTGCGCGACGGGTGCGAGTACGTCCGGAGCGGCCGGCTCGACAAGGCGCTCGGCGGCGGGAGGGTCGACGGGACGAGGTTGGCCGTGACTGGGTCGAGCGCAGGTGCGGGACACTCGTTCCTCTCGTGACTCTCGTCGAGCGTGCGTCGTCACAGACGCGGCAACCTGACGATGCTCGAACATGCCCTCTCCCGCAGGTGGCGCCCTCGCCGTCTTTGCGTCGTGCACGCTCTCGCCCCCACCGCTCGCCTGCTACTCGCTGTACGGCTCGCTCGACCTCCTCCACCCGTCCTACAACGCCCCGGTCGCCTTCCCCTCGGGCCCGATCCACCTCGCCGAGGTCGCGCCGCACCTCGACCCGCACGGGCCCGTCGTGTCGCACTCGCCCGCCGAGGTCGACTTCAGCACCATGATCGCCCAGGGCCGCACCCGGGCGTGCTTCTACGCCATCCAGGAGGGCAAGGTCCTGCCGTGGTCGACCCGAGTGCCCGAGCGCGAGATCGACCTCGAGCGTCCGAGCGAGGCGCTGCGGGCGTACCGCGCGACGGAACTCGTGAGGCGCGCGAGCGAGCCGAGGAGCGAGAGCTTGCCGCCGACCGTGTGCGTGCATGGGACGGACGACATGATGGTGCCCGTTGGGCTCAGTCGGGACCTCGTCGCGGCGCTCAGGGAGGCGGGCGTCGACGCAGAGATGATCGAGGAGGAGGGCGCGAACCAGTGCGTCCTCTCCTTCCTCTCTCTCTTGTCTCTCCCTCCAGCCTCTCGAGAACGACTCACTGACCCAGTCTCTGGTGCGCACGCAGCGGCTTTGACCTCGTGCCGGGCGTGTACGGCGACGCGAGCAAGATGGGCGGGATCGAGCGGGCCAATGATTTCCTCGCCAAGTACATTGACTAGTCTCTCGCTCGGCAATTGGACTTTAGTGCGACGTGTGCCGTGGCGACGAGAGAGACAGCGAGAAAAGAGAGAGCGTGAGGGGCTCGAGAGAGGATCCCGCCGCCACGAGAGGGTCGAAGTCCGGGTCGACCTCGCTCAGCTTCAACACCTCGGCCCGCCTCGACCCGCTCGAGCGCCCAGAGCCACGAGCACGGCTGCCAGCACCGACCAACACCCGCACAGCGCCGCGCGCCCCCCTCGATCTCGCCCGCCCCGTCCTCATCTCCCCCCTCCCCGAAACCTCATGGCCAAGCGGCAGCTGGGCCTCGCCGAGGCGTTCGCACACGCGCAGGGCGCGTCTATCCGTGCTGGGTCCCCTCCAGCCAAGCGCGCGCGCCTTTCGACCTCGCCTGGTCTCGCGGCGGCCTCGCCAAAGGCGGGCAGCACCGCCTCGTCGGCGACGGCGACCGCGTCAGGCTCGACGCAGGCGGCAGACGGCGAGGGCGACGGCGTCACGGCCAAGGGCAAGGGCAAGAGCATCACGACGCCCTTCTCGCCCGCGGCGTTCCTCTCGTCCCTCTCGACCTCGCCGCCCTCACCCACCGAGGCCGACCTCCTCTCGCTCGAAGGCGCGACCCTCGGCGCCTCGTGGCTCGCGCACCTCGACAAGGAGCTCCGCAAGCCTTACTTTCTCGACCTCAAGCGCTTCCTGTGGAAGGAGGGCCTGAGGGGGACCGAGGACCGCGGCGAGGGAGGCAAGCTGAGGGTCTTCCCGCCTGGTGCGCCCAGCCTTTCGCTCTCTGTCAAGCGCGCTCTCTCGTCGAGCGCGTACTGACAGGAACAGGTCGCCCTGGACGCGCAGCTCGCGACGTGTACGCCTGGAGCCGCTACACGCCGCTGCAGGACGTCAAGGTCGTCGTGCTCGGGCAGGACCCGTACCACGATGACGGTGCGCCCTCACTCTCTCTTCTCTACACTTTGCGATCCTCCCTGACGCCTCTCTTCGACCCGCAGGCCAAGCGCACGGTGCGTCCCACCCCTCTCCCCCCCCCCTCGCCCTCGCACTGACCCCGCCTTCTCTCTCTCCCTCCCTCTCGCCCCCCTCGCAGGCCTCTGCTTCTCCGTCCGCCCTGGCGTCAGATCCCGCCCTCGCTGCGCAACATCTACAAGGAGATCAAGGACGAGTACCCGGCGTTCGAGGTGCCCAAGCACGGGTGCGTCCCTCGCCCTCTCGTCGTCGTTCTCGGTGCGACCACAGAGGTCGCACGCCAGAGCGTAGAATCCGGGCGGTAGCGACTGACGCACTCCCTCGTCCCTCTCGCCTCGCCGCGACAGCAACCTCATCTCGCTCGCGCGCTCGGGCGTCCTCCTCCTCAACACGTCGCTCACGGTCGCGCCGCACAAGGCCGGGTCGCACAGCAACAAAGGGTGGGAGACGTTCACCGACAAGGTCGTCGACGTCGTCGACCGCCACGGCGGGCAGGGCAAGGGCGTCGTCGTGCTCGCGTGGGGCGCGTGGGCCGCAAAGAGGGTCGCAAAGATGGACAAGGTGCGCTCGGGCGAGGGGCTGTCTCTCTCGGTCTCGGTTCGGCTGGTGTCCGAGCAGGGGTACTGATGGACCACCCGCGCGCGATCCGCAGAAGAAGCACCTGATCCTCACGAGCGCGGTTCGTCCACACCTCTCTGTCCCTCTCTTCCCCTCCCTTCTTTCCTCGCCCTCCCCTCTTTCCTCGTCCTGCACCTCAGACCTCGTTCGCCCGCATCCCTCGCCGAACCGAACGAGACCCTGACCTCGTCCCTCGCCGTCCGCAGCACCCGTCGCCCCTGAGCGCTCGCCGCGGCTTCTTCGGCAACGGCCACTTTAAGAAGACCAACGAATGGCTCGCCCAGCGTCACGGCGGTGCGTCGGCCACGTCCACGTTCTCCTTGTCCTTGTCCTCGAGCGACGCACAACGACTGACGCACGGTCGGGTCTCCTCGCAGCGGACGCGCAGATTGACTGGACGACGCTCGAGCCGGAGGAGGACGAGGCCGGGCTCGACAAGGCCTGAGCGCGAGGCGAGCGGCAAGGAGCAGGTGTAGCTTGCGAGAGAGTGCATCGATGACGAGCAGCTCGCGCTTCTCGTGGCTGCTCGAGCGAGAGCCGGACAGCTGCGACGAGAAGAGCGAGATCGAGAACGAGTTGCACTGCCGCACACAATACGAGCCCTTCTTACGACGGCGTCGTCCCTCGTCCGCCTCCGTCTAGAACCGCGTCAACCAGCAGTCGAGCACGGCCGACCTCTTCTCCTCGCGCACGACCCTGACCGCCTCGCGCATGGCCTCGTCGAGCTCGCTCGCCGTCTTGACCTTGCGGCACCACGCGCCGCCGGCTGCGGCCGCGATCGCGCCATAGTCCGGGTTGAGGTCGTCGGTCGGGCCGAACGAGACGTTGAGCTCCGAGGTTGGGCCGGCGGCGCCGAGGCCGTTCGGGTGCACGCCCAGCATCGACAGCTTGGGCGATTTCCAGCCCTGTGAGCGAGAGAGAGTCGTCGACATAGAGTCAGGCCCGTTCTCCTTCGTCGAGAGAAAGAGAGGGACGCACGCCGTTGTTGAAGACAAAGACGAGCGTCGGCGTCTCGTACCGCCTCGCCATCCAGAAGCTCGCGCTCGGGACGCCAAAGATGAAGCTCCCGTCGCCGACAAAGACGGTCGTGAGGTCCTTCTTGAACTCGGGGTGCACCTCGGCGGCGAGCTGGGCGCCAATGGCGGCGCCGAGCGCCCAGCCGAGCGACGACGCGCCGGACGAGATGCACTCGCCCGCCTTGGTCGGCACGAGGTGCTGCCACACCTGCGGGTAGTTCGAGATGGCCTCGTTGCACACGAGGCTCGACAGGCCTTGGTCGGCGAGCAGGTCGCGGTACCGCCCGACGATGGTCGAGCTCGTCATGATGTCGCCCTCTTGCGGCACCTCGAGCTCGCGCAGCGCGGCGTCGCTCGCCTTCTTCTTGTCGACGAGGGCCGAGCGCCGCTTGACGATGGCGGCCTCGTGGGCGCCGAGCGCAGACGACGACGTCAGGTAGTCGTACAGCTGCTCGAGGGCGAGCGCGGCGTCGACCTTGGCGCGCAGCTGCGCCGGGTACGTCGCGAACGCCATGCGCTCCTTGAGCGGGTCGACGTCGAGGTGAAAGCTGCGTACGGGAACGAGAAGAGCGCAAGTCAGTGCCGGGCGGACTGAGCGCCTGGCGAGAGGAAGAGAGAGAAAAGGGGGACCGTGCACGCACATCTGGGCGTCGGGCTTGGGCTTGACGAAGAGCGGAAGCCTGTGAGGGGGCGAGCGTCAGGTCGAGTTTGACGTGTAGAGAACGCTCGAGGGGGGACGCACCAGGGCACGTCCGAGTCGATGACGAGGATGCAGTCCGCCGCCTCTACAGCCGCCTTCCACTCGGGCGTCGCGCCCGCGAACGCGACGCCCTGGTGGCTCGGGTGGTCGAACGGGAAGTTGACCGTGCTCAGGGTCGGCTGGAAGACAGGGACGGCGAGCAGGTCGACGAGCTTGACGAGCTCGTTGACGGCGTGCGGGTTGCGGCCGAGGTACGACGTGATGATGAGCGGGCTCTTGGCGGCGAGGAGCGCCTCCGAGATGCGCTTCACGGCTGAAACGAGGGAAGCAGTCAGTCGAGTGCGCGGAAGGAAGAGGAAGAGGAGGGAAAGGGAAGGGACGCACCGGTCTTGTTGAGCGGGTTCAGCTCAATCGGGGACCAGATCTCCTGCGCGCGCACGTCGCCGATCACGTTCGGGTCGACGTGCTCCTCGGTCGCCTCGCGCTGCCCCCACACGTAGACCGGCCCTGCATCGCGAGGAGCGGGCTCGTCAGTTTGAGACGGCCGACAGGGAGGGAGAGCGAGCGGGCCGCGAGCGCACCTTTGGGCTCCGACTTGGCAAACTGGAGCGCCCTGAGCACGACCTGCTGCGTGTTCTTGGCCGACCGGATCTCGCCGACGTGCCGCATGTACTGCCGCACGATGGCGGGCTGGTCGGTCGCGTTCTGCGCCGTCGGACGACCGGGTCAGTAACGCTCGGGGAGAAGAGGGCCCGACGAGGAGGGAGCTCGACGACGCACCTGCAGCCAATGAATGAACTCGTTCCTGCTCCCGGCGAGCTCGCCGTTCTCGGAGAACGGGCTCGCGCCGGCGTAAATGAAGACGGGCGTGCGACAGGTCGAGACGTTGTGGACCGCGCCGGCGAGCGCCTGCGAGGGACGAGGGTGTCAGTCGTCGCGCTCATGCCATGCCGGTGATGTTCGAGACGCACCTGGGTCCCGCAGTCGACGTGCACGATGACGGCGGCCGGGTGGCCGCAGACCTGCGCGTAACCTTGCGCGGCCGACAGGGCGACCATCTGCCAAGGCGCTCGGGGGTCAATTCTCTCCTTTCGACGCGCTCGAGAACGTGAGAGAGCGAGGTGCGCACCTCGTTGGGGCAGGTGACAATGTCGAGGCTGGGCAGGCCGTACTTCTTGCGCGACGCGAACGCCTCGAGGAGGGCCGGGTGGTCCGAGCCGAGGTTGACGAACGCCTTGCGGATGCCGGCCTTGACGAGGACATCGAGGAAGACGTTGGACGTCGTGAAGACCTCGGTCGGAGCGGACATGGCGCGGATGCGGGGGAGGTGTCGAGGTGAGGAGGAGAGGGCGGGCGAGAGGTCGGGGGGTGGCGAGGCTTTTTCGTAGCGGTGTGCAGGCTCTGCTGCAGGTGCTGCGACAGGCTCTGGTGGGCCGCTGAGCGGGTGGGCGAGTTTGTGCGAGGCGAGGTGCGAGGACGACGAGGTGCCGGCGCAGTTGACCGAGGCCGAGGTGTGGGTAGCTGCGAGGCTCGGTAGTGGTGGAGCAAGCTAGCGCGGGTCCTGGGTACGGGTGCGCAGGTCGCGTGTCTGGCGTCAGGTGCACGTGTCGTGTCGGTGGACGGGCGAGCAAGCAGAAGTCGAGGTCGAGCGGGGCCGCGGCCGCATTCTCCCCCACCGTTTGCCAGACGGCGGAGCCGGCCTCCCGGCCGGTAAAGTGGGGGGCAGCTCGGCACGGCTCGAGCGGTACCTTCGGCTTGTCGGCTGGCGACGACGGCAAGGACTGTCGTGCGGCGCCGCTCTTGCGCGAAGCTCTTTCAGCGCTTTCAAGGTGGATCATGCCGAGCGAGGCGACGTACAGCGAGGTCACTCTCACGGCGCCTCTCTCGTGAGGCGAGCTGCAGCGGCTCTTCCAGCTGGACAGACTCGACGGGCTACGCTGCACGTCCTTTGTCGCCGAGGAGGCCGCACGAGCAGGGAGGGAACGCGGCACCCAGCGCTCGCAGCCCCTCGTTCCAGCTCGAGCTTCTCGGACGCGCGGACCAGTCTGTCCTCGCGCGCGCCCGAGCGCTCATGCTGTGCGTCTGCGCGAGCTGCGGTGCTTTGCGCGCCTTCGGAGCTGGCCGTGCGCGCAGAGTGAAGCGACGCCGGCGCTGGCACAGGTCGAGCAGCATCGAGGCCAGCTACAGCGGGGCGGACCTGGCGCATGCAGAGCCGAGCCGCCTGAGCAAGTTGACACAGCGTCGCAACGAGCTGATGTAGTCCGAGAGAACGCCTCGTAGCGAGCCAGACGGCCTCGGCTCGCGCTCGAAGGAGGTGGGCGAGAGCGGCAGAACCTCGATTCAGCGAACGGCTGCGGCGAGGCGCCTCGCTCGACGGCCGGTGGCGAGATACAGAGACAGTGAGTCTCGCAGAGCGGAGTGCAGCGGTACCAGGCTGCGATGCGCGCCGTCGAAACGCTCATCAGCTGCCGTCGGTCGAGAGGAACAGGGGAGAGGAGCGGTGGCTCGGGGAGCGACGGCGGCAAGAGCGAGGGACCAAGGTAGAGTCAGGGGACTCGCTCGACTCGACGCAGATGCGTCCCGACGTAGCTGAGAGCGGCGGTAGAGCGTGGGAACGAGGCGGGCGGGGAGGCTGGGCACCTTCGCGGCTCTCGCTCGACAACCTCGCCACGGCTCTCCCAGACGCACACCAGGCCGGCCCTGCACGTCGCCCAACAGCCCAGCTCATGGCTGGTCCAGCGCTCACCGCGCGCCGAGCCCCGCACCGCCGATTGTTGCTCCCACTCCTCCTCGCCGTCGCCCTCCTGTGCTCCGCCTGGACGTTCGCGCGCGACGCTCGCCCGATGGCTCGACGACGCACAGAGCAACTGCGCCGACCACGATCACCGATCAAGCGCAGCGTCGTGCCGAGGTGCGCCCCACCCTCTCTCTCTCCCTTTGCCCCTCTCCTCCACTCTGCTCTCCGGCCGGGAGCGACCGACCGTGTCGACGACCCCAGCTGACCCTCCCCCCCTCCTCCCCTCCTCGACCGACACAGCTCGACCGGCCGGCTGCGCTTTATCCAAGGCTCGCAGCGCACGTCGCCGATCGGCGCGACGGTGCAGCGCGCGTGCGGCGAGCTCGAGCCTGGCTTCTCAGAGTGGATCTCGACGCTCGAGACGCAGGACGCTGCGGCGTGTGTCGAGCAGCGCACCAAGGGCGTCGACATGGCGGCGCTCGTTGGGTCGGCGAGGCAGCAGTGCGGCTCGTGGTGCGTCCCCTCTTCTCTCTCTCTCGCGCGCGGTGTGTCGAAGTAGGAACTGACGCTCGACGCCCGCCCGACGCAGGTGCGTGTGGGACCTCGCGACGTCCACGAAGCGAGGGTGGCACCTCTCGGACGGGTGTTGGGCGCGCTTCACCTCGCCGCACTACTGCGACGAGTGGTGGTACCAGCGGCCGGGCCACGACGGCGACAGCGATGGCAGCGGGACCTGAGCGGCGCGAGAAGGAGCGTATGCAGCATATAGAGCCGCTCTCTCGAGCATGTGCAACTACCTGTACCGGGACTTTCTCGACGAGACGCGCGAGCTGGATCGAGAGAGGGCGCGAGCGCTTTCTCGCGAGAGGAACAACAACATTGCAGGGCGGTCGAGAACAGAGTACGCCAGATCTGCAGTTCGAGAGTTTGTCAGTACGAGAGGAAGGAGAGAAAGAGAGAGAGAGAGGGAGGGAGACGCACAATCAGGGACCGAGGATCCTCGCCGTCGGCAGGTCGGGCGCCGCCCACGTGAAGCCCCTCGCGACGTCGCTCGCGTTGCGCAGCCGGAGCGACACGCTCGCCTCGGTCGTCCAGTCGGCGTCGTACAGTCCCGCGCGGTCAAACGGCTTGCCAAAGTTGTGCCACACGTGGACGCGGTCGAGGAGCGGGCGGCGGATGACGAGCGCGCTCGAGGGCTGGCGCTCGAGTTGGTCGAGGAGGTCCGACTCGAGGAAGCCCGACTTGGACTCGAGGTCGAACCGGACCGGGCGCCCACCGCGCTCGCCCTCGCCGCCGCCGCCGCCGAGGAGGCTCGTGTGAAACGCGAAACCGCCCATGTCGACGTTCCAGCGGCGCAGGCAGTAGTCGCAGCACCACTGCTCGATGACGACGGGCGTGCCGGGCGCGTCGGGCGAGAGTGCGGCGGCCGAGGGCGACGACGAGGGAGCGACGACGGGGCCCTCCCAGCCGTAGTAGCCCGTGTTGCCGACGGCAAAGACGGTGTAGGCGTCGACGGGGAGCTTGAGGAGCTCGGGCCACAGGTCGGGCCGGTACGCGTTGTCGTCGTCGGCAAAGTAGACGACGCCCTGGTTGGACCCGGTCGTCGTTGTCGTCGTCGCGAGAAAGTCGAGGGCGGCGTTGCGCAGCTCGACGCCGCGGTGGACGGTGGCGGCGTGCGACTCGCGGTGGAGGTAGTGGTGGGTGATGCCGCTGTCGACGAGGAGCTGCTCGATGGCCGGGTCGCGCTGCGGGGCGTCCTCGACGACGATCCAGACGACGCGAGGGGCAAAAGGCGAGGCGGCGAGCATGTAGGCGAGCATGAGCATGTGCGAGTACCGCGTCAGGTCGTCCTTTGTCTGTGTCGGGTCGAGATGGGCGGGTCAGGCGTAGCCCGAAAGCGTGCCGTGCGAGCGAGAGAGAGGGAGAGGAACGCACCGGGGTTACGAGGAAGAGGCGGTTCGAGGAGGTGGTCGCGGTCCACCAGGGGATGGTGGCGAGGACGACCAAGGTGACGAGGGTGGCGACGAGTGCAGCATTGCGCCTCATCGAGCCGAGGACGACGAGCGCTGCCGACAGAGGAGGTGGGGAGATGAAGACGAGCAGGACGACTCTGACCCTCGTTCAACCTCGACCGCGAGCTGTTGCTGCTGCTGCGTACGGCTGAGCCTGCCCTCGCTGGGCACATGGCCCTGTCCAGACGGCTCGAAGGCGTCTCGGCCCGTCGACTGCGCCTCCTCGTCCGCGTCGCCTTCATCGCCTCGGCCCTCGTCTTCTTCCTCCACCTCGGTGCGTGTCGTGCGCCTGTCCAGCTCAACCACAGACCAACAGTCGACTGACTCGCCTGCTCCCCGCGCAGCCGACTCGTCGACGTCGCACCCTCTCACCCGCACCTCGCCTCGCCGCCGCCTTGCCGACGACTCGCCCCCGTCCTCGCACGACGTTGCCCTCATCTTTGACGACAATCGCGTCGACTATGCGACCCAGATGCTGCGCTCGGCGGCCACCTACGGCTGGCCCCGACACGCGCTCCACTTCCACCTCGTCGCTCCACCTGCCGTCGTTCACCTCGTCCAACCCGTCCTCGACGAGCTCGGCATTCGCGCGACGTGGTATGACTACGCCGCCTGCGACCGCCTCGTCGCGCCCGTCCGACCTTTCGCCAACGAGGCCATCCACACGAGCGCCCTCTGCAAGGTCTTCCTCGCCGACCTCCTCGTCGACGTCGACCGCGTCCTGTACCTCGACACGGACGCCACCATCGTCGGCACCCTCGACGTGTGCACCCAGCCGCTCGCCGACGACGCCCTGTTCGGCATGGCGCTCGACCTCGGCGACGCGTGCCAGGTCCGGCCCGAGCGGTGCTGGCCCCTGTCGCTCCAGTTCACGCCCTGGGACGGCCTCGTGTGCGGCAACGTGCCCAAGCATCACTGGCCGCCGAGCTTCGAGGCAGACGACGCCGTCTGTGCTCAGCCAGGAGAGCCCGAGCCGGCCCAGGTCAACGGCGGTGCGTCCCCACGTTCCTTCTCCTGCCCGATCCCTCTCCTCCCGCCGACCCCCGACTGACGCGTCCCGCACCCCTGCAGGCGTCATCGTCATGGAGCTCTCGCGCATGCGCCGCGCCCGCTTCATCCCCAAGCTCCTCGCCTCGACCGCGCACGCGTTCCTCCTCGCCAACCGCCGCCACGCGACGTGGGCCGAGCAAGAGTTCCTCAACGCCTACATCCGCGACTACCCGCACGACTTTGCCGTCATCCCGTGTGGGTGCAACTACCAGTACGTCGGCATACGTCGCGAGGCCAAGTGCGCCGGGCAGCCGGTCCACATCGTCCATCACTGGTGCGTCCCCCTCCTCTCCCTCCCTCTCCTTCGTCCTCGCCCACTCACGCTTGAGCACCTTCCTTGCAGGTCGAGCAACGCCGCCGTCGAGACGACCGACCCGTACAACCAGGTCTTCCACCACCTGCGCCGCAACGACTCGGGCGCGCTCCCACCGCTCCCGGCCCTCTCGTCCTCGTCGGCCTACTCGCCCTCGGGCCCGGTCCGCGTCGAGCTCAACCTCGACTGCGTCGGCCAGCCGTACGACTGCGCCGAGTCGTCGCCCGCCGCCGCACCGCCCCGGTGGGGCGACCCGGTCTACGTCCTGACGCGCACGGCCGCCCGCCCGCGCTTCTTCGCCGCCGCGCGCGAGTCGGTCCTCGGCCAGTCGTACCCGTACGTGCACCACCTCGTCGCGACCGACGACGCGGCGAGCATGGCGTACCTCGGCGGCGTCGAGGAGGCCGACTTGGTCGAGCGGCGCCGCGAGTCGCACGCGTTCGACCCGGACGAGGTGTGCCGCGCGTGCCAGCCGCTCAACGAGCCGGGCAGGGCGTGCGGCCAGGCGCCTGACCTCGGCAACCCGCTGCGGCAGCCGTACCTCGAGTGCTACTGCGCGTCGCACTACCCGATGAACGAGCTCGTCAACCACCTCGTGCGTCGCGCGGCGGCCGCCACCACCACCGAGGCGGCGGGCCCAGGTTGGCTCATCCTCCTCGACGACGACAACGTGTTTAGCTCGTCGAGCGCCGTGTCGGACGTCATGCTCGACGTCGAGCACGCCGACCAGGTCGTCCTGTTCCGGTCGCGGCTCGGGCGCCTCACGCCGAGCGACGACGCCATGGGCCGCCTCCCCGTCGAAAGGGGCGACATTGACGCGAGCAACTTTATGGTGCACTCGTCGCACGCCGAGGAGGCGCTGTGGGACGCGAGGCGCTGCGGAGAGTGCGTCTCGAGCGTTCCTCTCTCTCTCTCTCTCTCTCTCTCTCTCTCTCTCTCTCTCTCTCTCTCTCTCTCTCTCTCTCTCTCTCTCTCTCTGCCCGTTCCTCCTCGGGCCGCAGCACTCACTCTCTCATCCTCCTCCTCCTCTACCATGCAGCTGGCGCACGATCGACCGTCTCACCAAGCTTCTCGAGCCCAAGGTGCGCCCGCCCTCCCTCCCCTCCCTCTCACCGACAGCCCTCCTGACTGATCCCTTCTCTCCCGCCCGCAGTGGAGCTCGGCCATGCCCATCTCGGCGCACCCTCTCCGCGCTCGACTCGGCGGCCTCGGCGGGAGGCACGACTTGCCCGACCCGGCGGCGGCGCCGGCGGCGTGAGAGGGGGAGGAGGACTGAGCGGGCGGCAGCGCGAGGAGCGAACGAGGGAGAGCGCCGTGTCGCACGCGCGCAGCGAGGGCCCGGTTCTGTAGACGTTGCATCTGCATCCCACATGTTGTTGTCCATCTCTCTGCTGCTGCTACGTGCGCGAGAGACGGCGAGCGAGCGAGCAGCTCTCGCTCGAGCCGCCGAGAAGCGCCTCTCAGGGTTCGCGATCTCGAAGACAGAGGGAGCAGCGAGACAGGGTTTCATTGCGGTGCGAGGGAGAGAATGAGTACAGGGTTGCAACAGGGTGAGGAGAGAGTATGAGAGACGGATCTAGATGCGCGAGTGAAGGGGACAGAGAACGACGCCGACGACGATGAGGGAGTGGGTGCGTTCGACGGTCGATGCGAGGCGAGTACGCTCAAAAGGTGCGTAAGGCTGAACTGAGAGGCGAAAGAGTCAGTGAGAGGCCGTGCGAGAGCGAGAGGAGGGCAGGAGAGAGAGCTCACCGCTGATCTAGGTCGTCGACGACGCGGACGACGCCGCCCGTCACCGTCCGATCCACGGCTGACCGATCATGCGCCACCCAGCGTCGCTGTCGACGAGCTCGCAGATGCCTTCTCGGTCAAACAAGGGCCGGGCGCACGGCAAGTCGAACGGGATCTCGGTCGAGTACGAGTAGGCGTCGGGCGGCGGCACGCCGACCTCGGCGTCGTCGAGCGGCACGTACGCGTCCGAGTAGACGAGACGCGTGTCGGTCAGGCCCGCGAAGCGCTGCAGGCACTCTGAGCGCGTCCCGAGGTGCTTGGGCCGGAACCACAGGCCGTCGACCTGGAACGGCTTGTGCCACGCGCGGACGAACGCCGGCCCGGCTCGAGGCCCCGTCAGGTTCGCGACGACGTAGTTCATGAGGAGGTCCTCGCAGTTGGTGAGCTCGTCGACGACACGGCGCGCGGCGGCCCACTGCGGCGCGTGGTACGCGTCGAAGAACTTGCGCGACAGGGCGGCGCCGGACGGGAGCATGATCGAGTGGAACTTGGACGGGGGCATGACGGCTGGCTTGGCCGTGTACTGGGACCAGAACGTCGGCGCGTACACGGGCTGGGGTGCCGAGCCGTCGTCGGCGAGGTCGCGCTCGACGTGGTTGCGGCCCATGTGCTCGAACCCGACCCAGCGGTCTCGGTACCCGGCGTGCCACACTTGCGAGACGCGGTTAATGTGGTCGTGCGGCATGCGCCAGTCTGTATCGGCGTCGAGAGGGAGAGAAGGAGGCGACCGAAGGTCAGGCGCAAGTCCGGACGTCTGCGAGCTCGGCACGAGGCGGAGAGGGGCGAGAAAGGTGGGACGCACCGTCGTCCATCGAGATGACGCAGTCGGTGCGGATCTCGGGCCAGGGATAGAAGCGCCAGTTGAGCGACGTGGACGGCGGTACGACGAGCGAGAGCCGAGTGCCGCCTGCGGCCGCGACGAGGTCCGTCTCGTTGGCCTGTGCCGGGCCGGCCCACAGGAGGACGATGGCCGTGATGCTCGTCGTCTGGGCATAGTGCCGCACCGACTCGGCGACCGTGGTCGGGCGCGAGAAGACGTTGACGACGAGGGTGCAGCCGGGCTCGAGAGGAGGCGACGACGAGGACAACGACGAGCGGTGCAGGGCCAAGCTGACGGCGAGCACGAGTGCTAGGACGAGGAGCACGCCGGCCAGGCGATGCACCCGTACCCTGGCCATGGCGGACGCAGAGCAGCTCTGTCTTCATCTCCCTCTCCTCCTCCCCCGCATCACCTCGTCCGCCGCCTGCTGGCTCAGCGCGTTGGACAGTCGCACCAGCTGCATTCGAGCCTTCTCTCGACCCACCTTGTCCCGCCGCCCTTTCCTCCCCAGCCCCCCTCCCTTCCTCCCGACCTCGTCCCTCCGCCCCACCCTCCTCGTCGACAGGCCGCCTCAGCCTCGCCCGCGACACGCAGCCGCCTCGACCACCGACTCGCTGGACCTCGAGCCGCCACGACACGCCCTGTATCACCGCCGCTGCGCGACTGCCCGAGCCGTTCTACCTCACGGACTCGGCAACACCGCGCGCACCATCGTGTCGAGCATGCAGTCGCGACCGCTTCGCTGTGCCGGGATCTGCGCTCCCGTCGAAGTGGGACAGTCTCGCAGAAGGAGCGCGCAGCTGCGGCGCCTTGCTGCGGGTCGGCGCCTGCCCCGCACGAGCGGCCGTCCTCGCACTCGACGCTTGTCCCAAACGAGCTCGACAGCATCCGCTCGAAGCTTGACGGCGCAACGCCCGACTCGTACGCAGTCAGAGTTGGCTTGCGACGGTGGCAGTACTGAGCCTGCGGTGCTCGCTGCGCCCGCGGCGGCGAGTCGCCCGCCTCGACGCGCGCTAGCTAGCTCGCTGCGCTTCCCTGCTCGTCGGCCGTCCTCCGCTCCACGACCGCTCGAAAGACGGGCAACGTGCGCGGCGTGCGCGAGGCGCGACCGCTTTCCGTGGACGGCGCGCCGCCACGTCTCTCTCTCTCTCGAGATGTCGATCTGCCTCTCGTCGCTCGTCGCGCGACCGTCCCGCTCCTGCGTGCGAGCGATCCGGCGGTACATGGCGAGCGCGCAACGCATGGGCTCTCGTGCGTGCGCCTCGCTCGGCAGCGCGACAGAGGACGAGAGAGGCCCTTGCGCAGTGCTAGTTACCTTACGAGCCTCTCGGTCCACCGAAAGCCAAGCGCACGAGCCTGGCAAGCCACTCGCGAGGAGCACGACTGTCGACGGGGCCGAGGCGAACTCGAAGCTGCTGCGCATTGTTCGCGGCGACGAGGGCTCTCGATTCCGCGCGCGCTCGAAGACGGAGCTTCGAAAGTTGGCGAGGAAGCGAGCGACGGAGTCCGGGCGTTTTGGCTACGATAGGAAGGCGCGATCGAGGCGAGACCCTCGACCTTGGGAGAGAGGCGCGCGGCGCTGAGCTGTCGGCCTCGCGTCCTGCCTCGCACCGCACCCCGTTCGCCCAGTGCTGCACCAGCACCACTAGCGACCCACTCGCGCGCACCAGCAAGCCCAGCAGCATGGCGTCGCTCGCGAGCAAGCTGCGGCGAGTCCGCGTCCTGTACCTGGTCGTCGCCCTCGTCGTCCTCACGTTCGTGCCGTGGCACCGCGTCCAGGACTCGGTCCTCCAGCACCGCGTCGTGCCCCGGTTCAATCCCGATCCCGCCCAGCACCAGCTCGCCGTGCTCGGTGCGAGCTCGACCGCGGGAGGCGACTTGGCTACCGCGAGCCACGATCCTTTGTGCGAGCGGTACCCAGAGCAGTGCGGGTACGCCGCGCTCCTGTGCGACGATGAACTGGTGCGCCCTCGTCTCTCTCCCACTCTCGATTCAGGCGCGCGCGGGCTCGCACGAAGTGGACGAGCTGACCCCACCTCCCGCAGCTCCCAGCCCTCGAGGTCCTCATCTACTCGCTGCGACAGACCGGCACCCCTCACCCGATCGTCGTCCTCGCCCTCCCGCATGTCTCCGAGGCCGCACGGCAGGACCTGCGCCTCCTCGCCGACGACGTGATTGCGGTCGACCAGCTCGCGTACCCCTACGAGGGCAAGGTCAAGCTCGAGCTCGGCATCAACAAGCAGTGCCGGTACAGCAAGCTCCACCTGTGGGCCCAGACCCAGTTCAAGTCGATGATCTACCTCGACGTCGACACCGCCGTGGTCAAGGTGCGCCTCGAGCCCTCCCCTCCTCCCTCTCCCTCTCCCTCTCCCTCTCCCTCTCTCTCTCGCTCGCGCTTGCGCACGACGGGACCTGACCTCGTCAACCGCCCCTTGCAGAACATCGACCACCTCTTCTCGACCAAGACGGTCTTTGCCGGCGTCAAGGACATCGGCGACGTCTACAACACAGGCGGTGCGTCCCTCTCCCTTCAGCGCCCCTCTTCTCGGGCCTCGTTCGCTGACCTCGCCCTCCTTCCCTCAGTCCTCGTCTTCAAGCCGTCCAAGGCGACGTTCAACGACATGATGGACACGTACCTCACGGCACCGTCGTACAACCGCGGCGACCAGGGCTTCCTCAACTGGTACTTCTCGAACCGCACGACGACGGGCCTCGGCGTCATCGGGCCGGCGTACAACGTGCCCGCCAAGCTCAAGGGCTTCGCCATCGGCAAGAAGCTCATCGACAACGCGTTCGTGTACCACTTTACCGCCGAGACCAAGCCGTGCGTCCCCTTCTCCCTTCCCTCGACTCGGGCGACGAAGCTTACTCGCCCCTCGTTCGCGCCCCTCTGCAGCTGGTCCTTCCACCACTTCTACCACCGCGACTGGAAGACCAACTACCACCCGCGCATGTTTGCCAAGTGGCGCACGCTCGAGTACGAGATGGCCCAGTCGCAGCCCGACTTGCGCGACCAGTACGCCGTCCCTCGGCACGACGTCCCGATCAAGGCTGAGCTCGCCGCGTACGACTGGCCCAACACGCACCGCGCGTACGACCTGTGCTCCAAGTACAACCCCAAGTACGAGACCGAGGGCAAGTTCCCCGTCCAGGAGCAGTACTCGGTCGCCATCTCGTTCTACAACCCCGAGCGCCTCGGGTACCTCACCAAGCTCATCGGGCACTACCTCCTGTCGGACCTGTGCGTGTCCTCTCTCCCTCTCTCTCTCTCTCGAGGCGGTCCCGTTCCTGACCCTTCTCCTCTCTCCCCTCCTTCCCTCTCCCTCGCCGACAGCGTCCACACCGTCTTCATCACATGGCACTCGCCCAACGTGCCCGTCCCGACCGACATCAAGCAGCTCGTCGCCGGCGGCAGGGTCGCCATCCTCAAGATGAACTCGGACACGCTCAACAACCGGTTCAACCCGATCCGCGGCCTCAAGACGCAGGCCGTCTTTATCTGCGACGACGACATCTTTGCGCCGGCGGCCGGCATCGACTTCCTGTTCCGCGTGTGGCAGGCGCGCCCCGACTCGATCGCGGGCTTCTTCCCGCGCATCCACGGCCGCAAGGAGGACGGCACCATCTTCTACGAGATGGCCGGCGTGCACCACAAGTACGACATCATCCTCACAAAGGGAATGATGATCAACGCCAACTTGTGCGTCTCTCCTGTCCCTTCCCTCCTCGTCGTCGCTCGAGTCGCTCAGAGACCTGACCTGCTCTTTCGCCTCGCAGCCTGCACGCCTACACCTGCGTCCTCCCGCCCGAGATCCACCGCTACGTCGACTACGGCAAGAACTGCGAGGACATCGCGATGAACATGATGGTGTCGGGCATGACGGGCGCCGCGCCCGTGTGCGTCCACGACGAGGAGGTGCTCGACTTTGGCACGTCCAAGGGCATCTCGATCTCGGCCGCGTTCACGATGCGCCGCGACACGTGCACGGGCGACCTCATCGACCTCTTTGGCCGCGACACGCTCGTGTCGTCGACCGAGCACGTGCGCAAGTTTGTCTCGAACAAGTTCCGCAAGGTGCCGTGGGAGGACCTCGACGACATTCTCGTGCGTCCCGCCTCTCCTCTCTCACTCTCTTTCTCGCTCTCGTTCTCGAGGGTACGCTACTGACGACGCTTGCCTTGTCACGCAGGATGGGGAGCGGCAGAAGGTGCTCGGTCAGAAGGCGTAGATTTCTCTCCCTCCCTCCCTCTCCCGCTCTCTCTTTTCTCTCTCTCATTCGACTTGGCGATAGGTATGTAGACAGCCGACGTCGTCATAGTGTAGTCCCCTCTCGCATTCACCCTCGCATTCTGTAATCGTCACCCACCATCGTCTGCTGCATTCCTCCTGGCTGCGAGCGAGCGAGAGGCCGTCCTGTCCGTCTCGCTGCTCGATACAGACCGGCTTGACTTGCAGTCAATGCAGGCTCGTCTGCAGGCTCGTCTCAGTCTCTCTCGCTTTCTGCAGAGCGCGCTCGCGAGGCTGAAAAGGAGAGCCACGTTTGCGCAGGAAGTGAGGGGAAGCTACGGACGAGAGGACGAGAGAACGCTCGAGAGACGCCGACATGGCGCCTGTGGGAGTGGGACTGACGAGGTGGAAGGAGCGAGGAGGGAGGAGCAAATACGGAGGGAGAGGGACGAGGTCGAGGCGGTTTGGGAAGGTCGTCGAGGGGGGCGGTCCGAGCGGCTCTGGCGCACGTCACACGTCGCCCTCGGTGCGGCGTCGAGCGGCTTTGATCGTCACGTTCAGCGACGGCGCGTCTGGCGCGCGAGCTGGCGGTGGTTCAGGTGATTGTCGACCTGGGCGACTTGGTCGACGAGTGCTTCGAACGAGCCGGGGCGCTCGAGTTGTCGGGCGAGCGCGTCCTTGAGGTCCTTGTCGAGCCCTTGGCGGAAGTAGAACTTGAGCGTCTCTTGAGTAATTTCGAGTGATGCCGCGAGGGCGCGGAACTTGGCGGCGTAGAGCCAGGCGGCGCCGTTTTGGCGAAGCTGGTCGAGCCGGGCGAGGTCGGCCATGGCTCTGTCGGGGTCGCCAAAGGTGGTGAGGAGCTTCTCCTTGAAGAGCTCAAAGTCGGAGAGCCAGGCGTGCTCAGGATTGGCGAGCATGTCGTCGGGAAGGTCGACGTAGGAGGAGAACCAGAGGCGGGCGTCGCCTCCCAGTACGACGCGCACGTGTGAACTCGGTGCGAGTCGTCCTTCCACCCTCTGTGACCCTCGACGAACTTGGTAATGCCGGCGACGAACGCGTAGACGTCGTTCGTGGTCGCCGAGCGCGAGCCGTCGAACACCTTGGGCTTCTGCACCTGGACCTCGGCGACAACCGGCTTGGCCTTGTCGACGAGCGCAGCGTTGACGGCTCCCTTCTGTGCCTTGACCGTCTCGCGCCCTCTGGCGGCGTCGACGCGGTCGAGCCGTGCCGAGAGGGACGCGACGAGCTGGTTCAGCGACTCGACTTCTGCTTGCACTTGCTCGATCTCCTTTCTCTGCTCGCCGGGTTGCGCGTCCGTGGTCATGGCAGTGCGGGCAAGTGCAGCGACGTTCCGCGAGAAGGTGCAGCAAGGAGGGAAAGAGAGGAAGAGCGCGGGCCGAGCGCCCTTTTTATACTCGGCCCGCTCGAACGTGCTCGGACGTGCTCGTGCTTTCCAGCCCTCGCGCGCAAGCTCTCGCAGCGGTGGCGCGTCGGCGAGCGGCGTAGATTCGGCCGACCGCGGCGCGACGGGAAGAACGGGCGCCGAAACCAGGAGGTCTCACGCGCTCAGGCCTCGACTCGCGCTCCGCAAATCCCTCCTCGACCCCTTCTGGCGCCTCGCACCGGATGCCCGACGTCCGGACAGGGCGACACGCTTCCCCGCAGGCCCTGCTCTCGCGCACGTCGCTCGCTCGCCTCGCCCGCGTCGCGCGCCGTCGACCATGACCCGCTCCGCCGCCAGCTCTTGACGATGGTGAGCGCCGCCTTGTTCTCGCAGCGGCTGCGGGCACGGCTCTGGCAGAACCGCGGCGTGCTCGCCGTCGTCGGCGGGCTCTCCCTGCTGCTGTTCGTCCTCGCGTCGCCCTCACCGCCAGCTTCAACGTCCCGACCACCAACCTCGACCGCCGCACGGGCCGCCGCCGCCGCACCGCTTCAGAGCTCGAGTCGCCCGAGTCGGCGCAAGCCGTCGTCGTCGGGCCAAGTCGTGTGGGCTTCGACGCAGGCCGGGCTCGTCCAGAAGCGCCTCGCGGCGCCGTTCGACGACCACCGGGCGACATTCATCCACGCCGTCGTCCAGAGGGAGAACGAGACGTATCGGACGCCCGGCGCCGACTGGCAGCGCTACGTCGCCCTGCCCTTGCACGTCGAGAGTGCGTCTCTCTGTCGGACGACGGCGCCGGAGCAGACCTGACCCCGCCTCGAACCCGCAGAGCTTCCGTACGCCGACCCGGCGCACCAGATCCACTCGGCGCATCTCGACTTTGTCTCGGTCGCCAAGTGCACGCACACGTTCGACGGCGAGATGTACGAGACGCGAGCGCTGTCGGACCACGCCGACTACGTCTACTTCGTGCGCTGCCCGATCCCGGACGAGCTCGACGAGGAACTCGACGCCGTCCCGGACGGGACGCTCAAGACGACGCTCACGTGGGTGTATCGCGACGGGCAGGGCAGCTTCAACAAGACGTTCACGCTCGAGGCGCACTACCCTGAACCCGAAACCGAGGTGCGCGGCGGCCCTTTCCTCTCGACCTTCTCAATCTCGAGATGCTCACCGTGTCTCTCTCCTCGCAGTTCGGCGTCTGTCTCTCGCCCATCTGGGCACACTTAGACGCTCGGGCGACGCTCGAGTGGCGCGAGAACCTGCGCACGCTCGGCGTCCAGGCGGTGCACTGGCACGCTCGCGACGCTGCCGTCGGCGACTTTGTCCAGCGGTACGTCGACGCGTCGGGCGCCAAGGACACCTGGCTCTACTCGCCGCCGACGAGCCTCGAGACGTACGGCCACCGCGACAACCTCGCCGACAACGGGCTGTACGGCGACCAGGTGCGTCTCGCGCTTTGACCTCCTCTCTCTCTCTCGACACCGGCGCTCACACTCGTCCTCTCGCGCCCAGATCATCTACTACCTGTCGTGCAAGTTCCGCTCGCTCCACACCAGCCCGTCGAGGTGGCTCGCCTTCATCGACCGCGACGAGGACTTCGTCCCCAAGGTGTACCCGTCGGCGGCCCTCTCGGACGACGAGGCGGCCGCGCAGCTCGCCCGCTTGCTGCCCGACTACTTCTCGACGGTGCCCGAAGCCGTTGGGTCCACCTGCTTCGGCAAGGGCTACCACGGCGCCCTGATCAAGAGCGTTGCGAAACGAGTTCCCGCCGAGGTGGCCAAGACGCAGCCGCTCGAGCTCGCGTGGATCCAGAAGCTCGGTCCGCCGACAACGTCGATCAAGTGCATGCACCGCACCAAGGCGTTCATCCACGCGACCGTGCAGTGCGTCCCTCGCTCTCTCTCTCTGGGAGCGGCGACAAGAAGCAGAAGCTCACTCGCTCGCGCACAAGCAGCTACGGCGAGCAGTGGTACCCGGGCTACGCTCCCGTCACGCTCGAGAACGGCACCGAGCACATGTCGGACGCTGTGCCGTTCCGGCTCATCCACCAGATCCCCAAGGGCGGCTGGTTCAGCGTGCCCAAGCCGTACACGCCGCCTTACGTGCGCGACGACCTCGAGGCGTACCTCGCCCGGCTGTGGCGGTTGCGCGAGGCGACGTGGGACAAGATGGGCTGGGCGTGCAGCGAGGTGCCGTGCCGGTTCGCGTCGGACGAGTGAGCCGGGCGCGCAGGAGCCTCTTGTTTTATGGGACGAGAAGCGTAGAGCGCAGGCGTAGAGGGGCGAGCAGGAGGCAGCAATGTATTCGTATAGACGACTCATGGCGTCGCAGTCGCAGAGATGCGCCGAAGCTCGAGAGCTGAGCGAGGAGCGAATCGAGCGTACTCGAATTCTCGAGCCGCCCGAGGGCGAGGAAGCGCCGTCGAGCTCGGTACGGGAGCAGCACGCGACCAGTACAGCCTTCTGCGTCGAAAGCTAGACCCGCGGCTCGGCGGAACGCGCTGCTGCGACCGCCGCAGCTTCGAGAACACGTCGACGAGGAGGGCTTCGAGGAGAGCGCGGCGGGCGGCCGCTCCAGCTGGCTGCGCGCTCGGCGGCGCCGCGAGAGAGACCCAGGGTAGCGGTGCGGTGCGCCTCCAGCGCTGCCCCGCGCGTCCAAACCGCGCATGAAGGCGCAGGAGATGAGAATGGCCGAGTCGACGGGGGAGAGCCGGGAGCGCATCGAGCTCGAGCGAGGGAGCTCGGCTGGGCTGTGAGAGCACAAGAGAGCAGCTTGCACCGTGCATGACCGTGCCAGAGCGAGCGGTGGACGAGCACCTTCATCGGCCGCTCCACCTCGCGAGAGGACGGCACACTTCCTCCGCTCCCGTCGCCGCTGCCAGCTAGCGCACGCACATGTCCTCCATGGCAGAGCCTCTCCCTCGCCGAGCGCGACTCCTCGTCCGCGGCTCGATCAACGTTGACGGTGCGTCCTCCTCCTCCTCCTCGTTCCCTCGTCATGCGACTCGTTCGAGCTAATACTCGCACCGCGCAGAGTTCTTCGTGGTCGACCAGTGCGCCCAAGATCCATCAATCGCGCGCTCAGGTCGGACCGCAAGCTGACCCTGCGCGCGCGCCTGCAGCATCGTGCGATCCGGCGAGACGATCGCTTCGACCGACTACTCGCGACGAGCAGGTGCGTTTTCCCGCCGCGCCCCCTGAGTGCAGCGTCACGCGATACTGACGACCCGCACCTGCAGGAGGCAAAGGCGCCAACCAGGCCGTCGCAGCCGCCAAGGCGAGTCGTCCAGCTCTCGTCCAAGCAACCCTCGAAGCGCGAGCTGACCCTCTCTCGCATCCCCGTGCAGGCCGGCGCCACGGTCGATTTTGCGGGCGTGATTGGGCACGACGGCGAGTGGCTGAAGGAGACGCTCGAGGGTTACGGCGTCGGGCTTTCGCTCCTTGAGACGGATCAGGAGGTGCGCCGGTCCCTCTCTCTACCCTGGTCCCGTCTCTCCTCAAGTCCATGTCTGACTCAAATCCACAGGTCCCGACAGGTCGCGCCGTCATCCAGCTCTCGTCCTCGACGGCCGACAACAGCATCGTCCTCCTCCCCGGCGCCAACTTCTCCGGCTCGGCCTCGCCGCACCCTCGCCTCCCGTCGTCCGCCCTCTCCTCGTACACGCACCTCCTCCTCCAAAACGAGATCCCGCTCGCCGAGACCAAGCGCACCCTGCACGAGGCGCACGCTGCCGGCCTCGTCACGCTGTTCAACCCGAGCCCGATGCTCTCGCGCGCCGACCTCGCCGCGTTCGAGTGGCCTGCGCTCGACTGGCTCGTCATCAATGCGGGCGAAGCCGAGGACCTGCTCGTCGCGCTCGCGTCGGACGAGACCGCCGCGACGGCGCGAGCGGGAGGACCCGACGCGCTCCTCGCGGCGCTGAGGGAGACGAGCTTGCGCTCGTTGGCGGGCATCATCATGACGCGCGGTGGAGATGGCGTCTTGGTCGACTTGAGAGGAGGGACGAGGCTGCGGCTCGGGCCGGGCAAGGTCGTCGGCGAGGTCAAGGACACGACGGGCGCCGGGGATTGCTTCACCGTGAGCCGCTCTCCTTTCCTCTTCTCCCGCCCTCCTTTCCTCCTCTCCCGCCCTCTTTCTCGACCGCAAGAGACTGACGACTCCCTCGTCCAACGCGCAGGGATACTTTGCGACCCTCCTTGCGGCGCTTCCGCAGACGTCCGCGTCGTTGCCGAACCTCGTCGAGCGCTGCCTGGTCGTCGCGAGCCTGGCCGCCGCCATGTGCGTCGAGAAGCCGGGAGCGATGGAGAGCGTGCCGACGCTCGCCGAGGTCGTCGAGCGACTGGGTGAGGAGCGCGGCGACGACGTCGAGGAGGTGGTCGCCATGGTCGAGGCGGCGAGGGCAAACGAGTAGAGCGTGGCTCGGTGCAACTGGAGACTCTCTCTGCCTGCGAGACGGCGAGAGCATGTTCTGCTGTATGAGATTGCAACACGGTCGAGATGTAGAAACAAAGTGAATGAGAGAGAGAATACGGGCCGCCCCGACCTCCTCCTGCCGCTCGAGCCGCTCGCTCAAGCCTGCGCCGCCGCCTTCGCCGCCGCCGCCGCGCCGGGCCTCCTGCACACGTGCTGCGGCCCGACCCGACAGTCGCGGCTGCAGTACGTCCCCGTGCACTTGCGGCACGCAGGAAAGTTGAGCCCGCGACGGCCGCACGCCGCGCACGCCGTCTTGAGCCCGATGTGCGACCGGCGCTCGAGCTCGAGCAGGAGCGGGTCCATCGCGACGGGCACGGGTGGCGCCGCGTCGTCGTCGTCCGAGCCGGCAGAGCTGCGCGCGCCGGCGGACGAGCGGCGTCGGCGGCGACGGCCGCTCTTCGACGGCGACGGAGGCGCGAGGTGCCCGTCGGCGGTCGTCGAGTGGGTCGACGAGGCGGACGAGTGGACCGACGTGTCGCGGGAGCGGGCACGGCGCGACGAGCGCGTGCGGTCGCGCGAGAGAGACGTGTTGGCCGAGGCCGAGGCCGATGCGGGCGACGAGGTCGGGTCGGTGAGGAGGAACGAGCGCTGGCGGGCAGGTTGCCGGGTCGAGTGCTGCGGCTTGGCGTCGAGCGACGAGCGCAGTTTGTCGGCCTGCGAGAGCTGCGCCTCGTCAAAGCGCAGCGAGGACGCCGGCGGCGACGTGACCTTGTCGGCCGCCGGCGAAACGGGCTCGTCCACCTCGCCCTGCCCCTCCTCGTCCTCCTCGGCGTACGAGTACGCGCCCTCGCCCTCGCCCCAGTACATGACCATCGTGCTGCTCGCCTCGTCGTGCCGGTCGAGCGCGAGCTTGAGCGCGTGCACGGCGCTCGAGCTGCGCGTGCGGTCGAGCGCGCCCTCCTCGGCCGCAGCCGCCAGGCCCGCCGGCGCGCCCCGGCCGCCGTCGTCGAGCGCAGAGCGCGACGACCTCCAGAAGCGCGACAGCCACGTCTTGGGCTCGGCCTCCTCGACCGTCGCGAGCGCGCTCGGGCGGCTCTTTGCGCGCTCGAGAGCTGCGCCGCCGGCGCCGCCGCGTAGCTCGAACAGCTCGCTCGGCTCGGGCTCGACCATCTTGCCCTTGCCCTTGCCGCGGCAGACCCTCGTGCGGCCCGACAGGTCCGGCGGGGCCGTGCAGATGCTCGCCGAGCTGCCGACGCGCCGCAGCCGGCCCGACAGGTACCGCTGGAGCGGGTCGTGCTTGAACGTCGACAGGACCGACGTCGTCGAGCGGTTCGACGCGATCGAGCGCACCGACGTGACGCGCGGCAGGCCGCTCGAGGTGGCGCCGGCGCTGGGCGAGACGAGGGGCTGGAGGCGCGAGGCGGAAGGCGAGGGCGGCGAGAGGGTTGACGGGGCACGAGGCTGGAAGTCGGGGTAGAAGGCGTGCGCGTCGGACGCGATGGGAGGCGTCTCGGGAGGGGACGGGTACGGCTGGCTCGTGCGGCTGCTCGACGAGGCCGGCTTGTTCGACGACGTCGACGACGGCGGCGAGAGGAGCAGGTCGTGCGGCGGCGAGAGCGCGAACGGCGGCGAGCGCGCAGCCGCCGCATCGACAGGTCGGCTGTTCTGCGACGGCATGTCGAGCGAGACCGGCGCCGCTCGGACCTCCTCCTCCTCCTCCTCTGCGTCCGCCTCGTCGACGTGCGGCCCAAGATGGAAGCTCGCGCCTCGCGGCGTGCGCCCACCGAACGACCCGCTCGACGTCGACGGCTGCGGCACGAGCGCAGGGCGGATCGTCACGGCCGACGAGCCCTCGTCCTGCTGCGCGCTCGTCGCGCTCGTCGCGCCTGTTGGTGACGCCGACGTCGCCGCCGCCGGCGTCTGCCGCCCGCGCTTCTTGGCGAGTCGCCACGGCTCGTCGGGCCCGAGGTCCTGGTGGCGGATCGACTCGAGACGGCGCTGCGTGCTCTGCACGATCTCGTCGCCCTCCTTGATGCCGATACCGGCGAACGGCGCGTACGGCGCCGCGAGGCGCTCGATCGTCGACCAGTACCGCTCGGCGACGAGCTTGGGGTCCTCGGCGGCGGACGAGGGCGACGACAAAGTTGGGGACGACGGGCCGTGCTGGACTGCCCACGCCTGGAGCGCGAGGACGTACAGCGCGTGAACGGCGACCGTCACCTTGAGCTTGCGCTCGGGCGAGAGGAGCGACGCGGCGGTGCCCTTGACGTCCGTGTCGAGCGGCAAGGTCGACGACGGGTGGGCGAACGACCGGCTGACGGACGACGACCGGCGGCGCGAGCTCGACGAGCGCGACAGGAACGGCGGCTGGGCCGCAGCCGCCGGGTGCGAGAACAGGACCGTGACGGTCTCGTGGTCGAGGAGCTTGACGGCGGCGGTCGCGCTGCGGCGCCACAGGTCGTCGTTGGCGCCCGAGCCGTCGACGCCGGGCGACGAGTCGTGCTGCTGCGGGTCGGACAGCGGCGCGTGCAGGACGCCGAAACGGTGCGCGTCGGTGACCTGTAGACACAGAGAGGCCTCGAGGTCAGCGTCGCGGCTAGAAGGAGCGCATGGGAGCGGATCGTCCCAAGGCGGGGAAGGGGCGATAACGAGAGGGGTGGGACGCACGCGAGCGATGAGGTCGAGTGCGCGCTCGAGGTCAAAGTAGAGGCCCTCGGCGCTGTCCTCGTCATCGTCGTCGGACCCGCCGTAGCCGCTGTCGCTCGACGGCCGCACGGGCTTGAGGAGGAGGAGCTGGAGGCCGGACAAGCTGAGCTCGACGGCGCGCAGGGCGTCTGGCGAACGATGTGGTGCGGTGCGGGCGATGCTGGACGAGCTCTGTCGAGTCGGGATCGACGGGCGGCGTACAGGGGCTGGTGCAGCTGGCGGAGAGAGGGATGTAGGAGGAGGAGAGAGGTGGTGGTGACCGACGTGCGACGGGCTCGCGGTACGGGACTCGCGCGCAAGGATGCTGTGTGAGACTACGAGTCAGTATGTGCGCGCGCTGGAGCACCTAGGGCAACACGAGAGAGGGCAGCCTCACCCGGCCAAGGTTGCGCACCCAGCCGACGAGCCGGCCATGGCTGCCCGCTCGAGCTTGTCCTTGGCCGCGTCGAGCTTGTGTGAGATCAGGTCCATCTGTCTCGTGTAATGGGTCGCAGGTGGAAGAGTCAGCAACCTAGTGGCAGGACGCGCCGGCCAGGAGTCGACCGAGGAAGGGAGGAAGGGAGGACGCACCTGGGCGAGGTACAGGAGCGACTCGATGTCGTCCTCGTCGTCCTCCTGATCGTCATCTTGGCCGTCCCGGTCGTGCGCTGTAGGCGGCGAGAGGTTGTCGTTGCGGGCGACGAGGCGGCGGCGAGGCGAACGTGGGCAGGGGGCGGTGCTGAGCTCAGGGCTGGTCGGCAGAGGGCGGGGCATCCGGTGGTGGCGAGGGTGCAGTGCAGGATGATCACGAGCAGGTCGTGCGCGGCAAGCAAGTCGTGTGAGCCGGTGAGTGGGAGGGAGGAGCTCTCGAGGAAGGAGGAGGACTCGCAACGCGGCGCGTGCTTCCAGCCGCAGCTCGCAGGGGATTTCGGAACCAACTCAAATCAACGTTGCCTGAGACAAGGATGACGATCTTTCGGCCCAGTAACCGGCGCCCGCACCTCTCGCTCCCTCCTTCTCCTCGCACAGCTTGCACTGCGTCCAGCCCTCGCTCTCACGAGATCCACGCCAGTGCTCGACCTGTACCTGCTGCAGCCACACTCGCACCTAGAAGTGCCGCACCGCTCTGGCAACGTGCGCCGCCCCGCCCTCCTCGCTCTCGCGAGCCACGTTCTTGTCACTCCGCTCGGCGGCGCGCCCTTCCCGTTCTTGCGCCTGCGGGAGCGTACCTCGCTCGTGTGCACACCATGCTCGTGCGCTGGCTCATTTACACCGCGATTGCCGAGCGTCCGCGCTCCCTCCCTCCTCTCTCCTCGAGGCGCGCTCGCTCACTTCCTCCTCGTCGGTCGACAGTGGCTCGCCTACGTCGTCAAGGAGTCGCGCTTTGTCGCCAACCTCCCGTTCCACCTGTTCCCGCCCAACCTCCCCGCCCAGTTCGTCCACCTCCCGCACGCTGGCTCGTCCGGCGAGCGTCTCGAAGCGTTCACGGCGCGCTCGGACCCGTCGGGACCGTTAGCACGCCGCCTCGCCTACTGCGAGGACGCAGTACACCTGCCGGCGTCCGATGGCGCACGTGGAAACGCGCTCGTCCTCGTCTCGTGCGACCCGCAGCGCCGGCGGTGGAACACGGTTATGGCCCCGCTCGCCGACCCGCACGGCGGCCAAGGCGCGCTCTGGGTCGTCGACGCGCTCGGCCGAGACGACGAGCTCGTGCACCAGGTCGAGCTCGAATGGGCCGCACTCGAGCGCGGCGAGGTCGAGTTTCACCCGCTTGGGATCGCGCTCGTTCCTCCTGTCGGCGGCGGCGACGACGCCGACGACGGCGTCCGACTGTTTGCCGTCAACCACGGCGCCGCACGGTCGACGATCGAGGTCTTCTCGCTCTCGCCCGTCTCGCCCTCGCCGCACCGTCCTCTCGGCCACCGCGCGACGCACCTCTTCACCCTCTCGCACCCCTCCCTCTCCGGCGCGCCCAACTCGATCGCCCCGCTCTCGCGCACGAGCTTCCTCGTCTCGCACGACCATCGCCACACGCGTCGAAGGCGCTCCCTCGTCGGCCGGCTCGCCAACTTTGTCGAGACGGTCGGCGCGCTGCCGTACGGCCGCGTCGACTACGTCGCCTTCGACGAGCCGGTCGCCCGCAAGGACGCGCAGGAGGTCGTCGTGCGCACGTCGACGGTCGCGAGGGGCATCTCGTTCGCGAACGGGCTCGCGCTGTCGCCCGGCCGGGAGACGCTCGTCGTCGCGTCGACCTCGCGCCGGCAGCTCCTCTTCTACGACGTCCGCGCTTCCTCCTCCCTCGGCGAAGACGTCCCCCCGACCCTCACCCTACGCCGCACCGTCACCCTCCCCATACTCGTCGACAACCTCTCCCTTCTCCCCTCGTCCCCCAACTCGACCTCACTCACCGTCCTCGCCGCCGGCCACCCGTCGTACCCGGCCCTCCTCTCGGCCGCACACGGTCTCAGCCTGCGCCTGCGCCTTCCCGGCCCCTTGCGCGAGTGGGCCGCGACGCTCGGCGCGCGAGACTGGGAGGAGTGGGACGTGCGGCTGAGGGCGGACGAGCAGAGGGGGATGAGCTGGGCCGTCGCGGTGCGCGACCCGCCTCTCTCTCGCTCTGCTGGCGGCGAGGAGGGGCACGAGGAGGAGAGAGAGGCGTGGGAGACGGTGTACCAGTCGAGCGGGCGCATCGCCGAGGGTGGGTTCGGCGGGAGCACGACGGCGGTCGCAGGGGTCAGTGCGGCGGCGGGCGAGGAGCGCGCCTGGCTCGTCGTCGTGGGCCTGTACGAGGAGGGCGTGCGCAGCGTCCGTCAGTAGCGCCGAGCTGTAACGATCGACGCAGGCTTGCGACGTCGAGGTCGCCCCGGTCGTCGAGAGCGCGCAACTTGAGAAGGTCAAGCTGTCACGCTCGTCGCTCGCCGATAGAACGAGAGATATTCGCTCTCGGGCAGCTGCTCAATCACGAGAGGAGCTGAGGGGCAGAGCCGATGCTCAACCGTCGGCGCGCACGCACAGGAGCTTCAGCTCTCGAGGAGCAGACGAGGATCGCTTTCGCGCTCTCGCGGTCTCGCCCTCGCTCACGGTCACGCCGCGACGCAAGCGAGAGTACTGCAAGACGACTGAGATGCAACAACACGTAAACCCGCTGACCTCGCCTCGCCCAAGCCCGCCTCCCGACAAGCGCACGACCCTCTCGAATCGGACCACCCTCGAGCTCGTCGCGCGTGCCCCGACCCGCTCACTGCCTCGTCGCCCTGCCCCTCCTGGTCCTCGAGCCGACCGGGTCCTGGTACACGGGCTCGGGCGGCGCCTCGGCCCCGCCGGCGAGCGCACGGCGGATCTGCTCTCGCGCGGCCGCCTCGGCGACGTTGTCGTACACGACGTACAGGCTCTCGTCCTGCGTCGCCTGCGACGGGTCGAGCGGGTAGGCGTGACCGGGAACGCGGCCGGCGGCGGCGGCCGTGGTGGAGGAGGTCGAGTGGCCGGGTTGGGGAACGGCGGCGAGGGGCGACGGCTGCTTCGAGGTGGTGAGGCTGATCGTGCCCGAGCTCTGCGAGAGGGTGATGCGCTGTCAGGGCCGTCGCGAAGAAGATTGGGCACAGAGAGAGAGAGGGAGAGAGAGAGAGGCGCACCTTGCCCCTGCTGAGAGCGGTCCGGCCCCTCGCCCGGCCCGGCTTCTCCGCCTGCGGCACGCTCGTCTCGCTCAACTGCGCCAGCAGTCGCGACGTCTGCTCGCGGAGCATGTTGCGACCCGGGTCCTCGACGGGCGGTGGCGGGCGGTGCTCGGAGCGGAGCGGCGGCAGCTCAAAGTCGGACGAAACGTCGGGCTCGGACCGAGGGAGGGGCTGACGCGGCGACGACGTCTCTGCCGCGTGCTCGTCGAGAGCTGGACGAGGCGCCGTGTCGGCGAGACCGTCGAAGCCGCCGAGCTCGTGCTCGTGCTCGTGCTCGACCGCCTGCTGCGGCCCAGGCGAGGGCGCCGGCGACGACGGCTCGGTCCTCGCGCCCTCGGGCTGCTCGCCTGCTTCGACCTGCACAGGACGACGCGCGTCGACGGTCGGCGAGCGCTCAGGGAGGACACGCTGCGGGCGAGCAGCCGGGCTCGGCGTGCGGGCCAAGGGCGAGCGCGGCGCTCGACGGCCGTGCGGCACCTGGCTCGACGCACCGACAGGAGGTCCACGAGGCGACGACGCCACACCGACGAGGCTCATGCCGGCGTCGAACAGCTGGCCGCCCTTCTTGGCGTCGAACGTGTGCGGGAAGTCGTTCTCCGAGATGCGGGCCTGCGCACGGCCGCACTGCGGGCGAGGGACGTGGTCAGGTCGACGTCGCGCACGAGACGACAGGTAGAGAAGGGGGCGCACCTCTTCGATCCAGCGCGGGTGGACGATGTGGGCGCCGTCGGCCTTGGCGAGCTTGAAGTCCTTGAACGACTCGGTCGCCTTGACGCCGGCAAAGACAAAGTGCGTGACCGACTGGCTGTACTGCCGAGCTGCGACGCCGCCGAGGTCCTGGACGATCGAGGCGAGCGCTTGACGGTCGACCTGGAGGAGGAAGCCACCGAGTCAGTTCTGGCGAAACGAGGGTCGACGACGACGACGGCGACGAGGGAAACAGGCAGACGTACGTCGACCTTGCTCGAGAAGAAGACGACGCAGTCGCCGAGCGGGCCGTGCACGCTCTGCTCGTCGACCTCGCCCGTGATCTCGGCGACCCTCATCGTCGTGCACGGACCCTCGGCCGCGTGCGACACCTCCTCCTTCTCCTGCTCCCCAGCCGCCTCGCGCCGGACCTCCTCCGCTCGTCGCTCGACCATCTGCCGCAGCGCGCCGAGCGAGCAGACCGTGAGCCCCCACTCGCGCGCCTTGGCGACCTTGGGGAACTGCGCCGGGTCGAGGTCCTCGGGCCCGAGCGAGCGGTCGTCGTCGAGGGCGCACACGACGAGGTGCGTCGTCGAGCGGTCCATGTAGGGCGAGTAGACGGCGCCGATGGCGGTGCAGTATCGGCGCAGGTGGTGCATGGCGGGATCGTCCTCGGGGCCGAAGCCGGAAAAGTGAACGCGCACGGCGTCGAGACCTGCAGAGGCAAGGGGGTTAGCTGCCGCCGCAAAGGTGCACCCGACCGAGAGAGAGAGGTGGACGGACCAGGGACCGGGCAGGCGAACGAGATGGGCCGCTCGAGGACGCGGTCGGCGAGGTCGAGGAGCTGGTCGTGGAAGATGCAGAGCTCAATCCAGCAGACGGTGCGGATGCGCGGGTCGGGGTTGTTGGCGAAGCGTGCAGGAGGTCTGCGCATCGACAGATGGTCAGTGACGGCTCTGTGTGAGAGGAAGGGAGGGAGGCTCGGACGCACTCGACGTAGTCGACGATCACAAAGTCGGCCTGGGCGAGCTCGTCGTCGTTGGCGTTGTCGATGCACACGCCCGAGCACTTGTCGATGACGCGGCGAATGGCGCTCACGCGCGGGCTCTTGAGCTCCATGAGGGCGACCGTCTTGCCGGCGAACATGGGCGCAAAGACCGTCTCGTCGGACGAGGCGCCCGACGACGACACGCCGCTGTCCGTCGTCGTCGTCGTCTTGTCATTGGCGACGGGCGCGAGGGCGGGCGCCGAGTCGAAGAAGGCCGAGTCGTCGTGCCCGGCGTTGCCCTCGCCCGGCACGTCGGCGACGAGGGCGGTCCTCGACGGGGCTGCAGCAGGCAGACGGCGTGCTCGCTCGCCGGCCGGAGCATGGACAAACGAGCCCTGGCGCGAGCTCGACAGCGCCTTGATGACCGACTTGCTCTTGGGCACGAGCTGCATCTCGACCTGCCCAGGGACGAGCTGCATCGCCATCTCGCCGTCGCCCTTGCCCTCGCCGGCGCCGCCGTGCTCCTCGACGGCTCGCGCACGCGCAGCGAGCAGCTCGGCGACGCTCTGCAGGCCAGTCGTGTCGGCGTCGGCGAAGCGGCTCGAGTCGCCCGCCGCCGGGAGCTGCGACGCGCCGAACGCCTCGAGGAGCGCCTGCGAGTCGTCCTGCGCCTGCTGCGCGACCTGCTGCGACGCGCTCGGGAGCAGCTGGGGCACAGTGTCGGCGGCGACGACACGGCGGCGCTTCTTGAGGACCTTGCCGTGCGCGAGGTCGAACGCGGGCGGCGCGGCGGTGTCGGCCTGCGCCGGGTCGGCGGCCGAGTCGAGGTTGTCGAGGAGCGCCGTGTCGTAGCCCTTGAACGACCGGCGAGGCTGGTAGGTGCCCGGCACGGGGACGATGGTGCGGCTCGACGAGGCCACGGGTCCGGCCGCCGCGCCGCCGAGCGCTTCTTGCCGAGCGGCGAGCGGTACAGGGCGAGCGCGGACGACCGTCGAGCGGCAACGTGGCGGCGCGACGTCGACCTGCCAGGTGACGTCCTCGACCGGCTCGGCGCCGCCGGCGTTGTGCTCCCACGCCTGGACCCGCTCGGCCCGGATCCCGCCGTACTTGACCGCCTCGCGCGCCCAGCCCTCCCACACGACGACGATGTCCTCGTGGAGGCAGTGGCGGTTCTTGCGCACGTGGAGGAGCTTGCTGGACGTCGGCGTCTGCGAGTGCGGCGAGGACGGCGAGGCGACGAGGAGGTGCGTGACGCGGCTGTCGAGCTTGATGGCGATCTTGGCGCCGTTCAACACGAGGAGGCGCTTGAGCTCCTCCTTGTACTCGCCTACGTGGGCGATCGCGTCAGGCGCGCTCGAGAGCCGTCGAGAGAGAGGCGGGAAAGGGGGACGGACCTTTGGCGAAGCCAGTCAGGCACGCGACGACATCCTTGAGTGGCGGCATGGCGTGGTCGAGCTCGAGCTGTTGCACAGTAGAGGAGCGTCAGGAGGCGGCTTGGAGCGGGGCAGGGGAGAGAGAGAGGGGGCGCACCTGGTGAAAGTCGACGTCCTCGCCGCTGACCCACGCGTCTCGCACCGCCGGGAGCCACGACGACTTCATGACGTGCATCCTCCTCTGCAGCGCGACCTGCAGACAGGGAGCAAGGTCAGCGAACCGGGATGTGGGTCCGAAAGAGGGGAGGGAGGGAGAGGTCGACGCACGTCGTACTTCTTGCCGGCGGGCGAGTCGGTGACGAGGTGGGTCGTGTCCTCCTGCAAGCCGCCGTGCCGCTCTGCGCCAAACGTCTCGGCGAGCGCGAGCAGATCCTCCTTGCGCCCGTCGCACCCGCTGACCGACACCCGGAGGCCCTCGAGCGGCTTGCGCTCGCCTCGCAGCGCCTCGCGGTAGCCGTACGCCGGCTCGCCGGTGCGGTCGACGTCGTGGTCGCCACCGTAGTCGTCGGCATCGTCGTCGGACACGCCCGAGTCGGCCTCGTACGCAGCGGCGGCGGCGGCGGCGGCCGGGTCGCGAGCTGGCGCGGGGCGGAGCGTCACTTTGGGCTGGCGCTTCGAGTTGACCTGCCGAGGGCCCTTCTTGCCGCCTGCTCGCCGGTTGAGCTGCGACGGGTGCGGCATGACCTTTGGGGGCGCGAGGTGGTGGCGCTTGAAGGCGAGTTGATGAGGACGAGAGGCGCGGAGCGGCGAGGCGCGACTTCGGCGCGTCCACTCGAGTGCTTCGGCTCGCTCGAAGCGAGCTTGCGGGTGCTCGAGCGAGAGCTGCACAGTCGCACTGCACTGCAGCCAGCTCCCTTCCTTCAATCGCCAGTCTAAACCTCCGACTTGACCTCGCTTCGAACGACCACCTTGCTCTCTCTCTCTCTCTCTGCTCGAGCGCTCGCACAGTACAACAGCGGCTCGCCTCGCCGGTGTAGTCCCGAGACGTCTACGGACCTCGGTCGCAGATTTCGAGCCGGTCGATCAAGTCGTCGGCGACCGGTTCCGCCGCGTCGAGGGCGAGGTCTGCGCGCGCACGGCGGGCCCGTCAGTGCCTCGTTCCCTGCTGGCCCACCCGCAAAGAGAGAGAGAGAGAGAGAGACGCACAGTGTATGCCGTCCATGATCCTCTGATCGATCGCGTTCGGCCTCGAGTACATCTCAACGTCGACGACCTGCCAGCGTCCCTCGCGGCGGCCGATGCGGCTCAGCTCGCGGTTCCAGTGCGACAGGCGTGGGCCCGTGCGGCAGTCGTGGTCGTGCAGGTGCTGGTGCTGGACTGGCATCGTGAGGAGGACGAGCTTGGTCGGCGGCGAGGTCGAGGCGGACGAGGAGGACGGGCTCGAGTCGGTGCAGCGGCATTGCTCGGCGAGGGCAGCGATGGCGGCGAGGCGCGCCTCGAAGAAGGCGACAAAGTCGGACGTCGTCGGGCAGTTGAAGGCGGCCATGTGCGTGCCCTGCGTCGTCACCGAGGCCCTGGGTCAGGAGGACGAGGGAAGGTTGAGAGGGGACGACGAGGACGCACAGCGCTGACGACGATCGCATCGAAGCCGTCGACGGTCTCGCACGTGAGAGGAAGGACGAGGAACGGGTCCCTGCAGGCGTGGGACGAGTCAGTGACGTCGCTCGAAGTCGAGGGACGAGCGCGGCGGCGCACCAGATGAATTCCTGCACGCGGTCTCGCCATCAGTCAAGGCGCTCTCGCCCTCGAGAGAGAGAGAGAGAGAGAGAGCAGGGGCGCACCATGAAGACGTTGCCGACCGTCGCGTTGCGCATGTCGAGCTTGGCGCTCGTGCTCGCGACCGTCCCCTCGCCCTCGAGCCGCACAGCGACAATGTCGAACGCGGCCCTCGCGTGGCTGTCGCCGACGAACAGGACCCTGCTCGTCCCTCGCTCGACGCACGCCGCATGGTCGGCGAAGCGCGTGCCGGCGTGCGACCAGGCGCACTCGGCGGGCACGAACGCGTCGTACCCGGTCGAGGTGCGCGAGTGCGTCGCCGGGTGGTACGAGTACGGGACGGGGAAAGGCGGGTACAGCTGGTCGACGGGGCGGGTCGGGATGTACGAGCCGCGGAGGGTGCCGGCGCGGGCGCGGGCGGCGCACGACGGGAGGGAGAGGGGCTCGAGCGGCGCCGGCGAGGGGGAAGGGAAGGTCGGCGGGAGGGCAAAGCCGAGTCGAGGGGCATAGTGCGTCTCGCACGTCGGGGCGCAGATGTCGAGCTCGAGTGGGACGGCCGTGAGCGACGTCATGAGGAGCTCTGGGCGGTGTCGGGTACCGGCGACGATGTTGTCCTCGCGGAACGCGTTGTAGTCCTGCGGGGCCGCTCGCTCGTCCCGTCAGACGCGTCCGAGAGTCACAGGGAGTGAACGAGGGTGCGCACCTGGTTGGCGTGCGTGACGTTGATCCAGACGGGCCCGGCGTTGGCGAGCCGGAACTCGAACTCGTAAGCGCACTCGCCGAGGTACTTCGACGGCGAGTCCGCCATGCGCCGCTCGGCGCCGTCGACCTGGACGATGAACGAGTCGGGCCCGAGGTGCGCCTTGATCCAGCTGCTCAAGTCGGCGTCGACGGACGGCTCGACCGACGCCTCGACGGCGGCGCAGTGCGCCTTGTCGACGCGCGAGACGACGAGAGAGAAGGCGTTGCAGACGGTCGTGTCGTATGCGAGGGAGAGAGCAAAGTCGGGCGAGGAGGAAGGAAGCGCGATGGGCGTGCTGAGGTGTCGAGGGTCGAGGAGGGAGGGAGGAAGGGCAAGGCGAGGATTCGGGCACGAGTATGGTCGCTCGAGCGCGAGGCGATACTGCTGGAACAAAGGGTCAGGGCGCGCACATTGGACGAGAGAAGCGAGGTGACGCACGGGCGAGAGCCACAGACCCGCCACGCCAACGAGCGCAACGAGCGCGAGCGCCGCCGCTCCCGCCCTGCGCGTCCACGACCGATCGTCCTGCGCCCATTCACAGCGTCAGGTCTGCTCCCTTGAGAGGGTGAACGAGGAGGGACGCACCTCGTCTCGCCCGTCGACGCTCGACCCGGTCCCCATGCTCGACCAGCTGGCCGTCCTCGACCCGTCGTCCAGCTTCTCCTCCTGCGCGGCGCCGTCCGCCGCCGCCTGCGCGAGCGGGAGGTACCCTCCTCCGCTGCTCGACGTCGACGTCGACGTGTCGCGAGGAGGTGGGGCGCGTCGGGTGCTGCATGCGAGGAGCGTGAGCGACTGGCGCGTGAAGGAGAGAGGGAAAAGGGGAGCAGGGACGCACTCGAGTATAGGGTAGAGCGGCATGCTCCGTGCGCTCGAGAGTCCAGCAGCAGAGAAGCGCGAGCGAGGGAGCAGGCGACCACCCGGCAACCTCGCTCAACCTCCTCGACGCGTCCGAGCGAGCCGGATGTTTACGCGCCGCTCGAGCGAGCGTGCGTGTGCTCGGAGCCGACAGCGCTCGAGAGGAGAGCAATGTGATGCGCCGTGCCTGGAAGGCGAGGCCGCACGTCGCACATGCCAGATCTGCGTGGCCCTCGACGAGCGGACGATCGAGGGAGCTGCGGCTGCGGACTCGGGTCGGCACGGCGCACACGGTGGTGTAGAGGAGCGGTGCTGTGCGTCGCAAGCGTGCGAGGTGCGCGTCGCGCGGGTCGTCGAGGTCGGGTCCGACTCGTCCGAGTAGAGAGTCGGGGAGACGAGGATGGCGCAACGAGCAGCAGCAGCGCAGCCGGGCGCATGTGCGGCGCTCGGTGGCTACGCGCACAGCCTTGTGCACCGAGCTCGCGGGCCTCGGGCGGTCGTCGAGTGCTTGGTCGTGAGGAGGAGCTCAACCAGCAGCTTCCCGGGCCGCGTGCGCAGCCGACGACGACGCCGACACCTCGTTCCGTCTCGCTCAGCGCTTCCTCTCTCTGTGCAACAACGAGCCGAGCCTGGCAAACCGACTGGCTCGATGCAGAAAGAAGAGAGGACGAGTAGTACACGGACGTCCCGCGAGCGAGCTGACGTCGCGCGGAGGGGGAGCCGGGTGCGAGAGGAAGTACACAAAGGGCAGGGACGACAAGGGCGAGAACAGGATGCTCGGCGCAGAGGGGAGAGGGGGTATGGGCGAGGCGAGAGGGGAGGGGAAAGACGACGAGGAAGGAGGGAGGGAGGGGTTCCGAAAGAGAGGCTCGGGCGCTCACGACACGACGCAGCGGCAGCATCCTCCTGCGGCCCCGGGCGCGTCGAGGTCGTCCTTGGGCGGGAGCGGCGGCGGCGGCGGCGGCGCGGCGGGCGAGGCTGGGCGAGGAGGGTAGGAGGGCGCAGGGGCGCGTGCGGCGGGTGGCGCTGAGTCGGGCCGCGCGTGCGGGTGCGGGTGCGGGGTCGAGTCGTCGCGAGGGTCGACGACGGCGGGAGGCAGAGCAGGAGGCGGTGGGGCGTCGTCGCTCGTCGCCGTCGGTGAGCCAGCAAGCGCCTGCGCCTGCTCGTCGCCCATCTCCTCCCGCGCTCGCCGTCCGTCCCCCTCCTCCGCCTCGGCCTCACCCCGCTCTCGCGGCAGCAGCGGCGGCGGCGGCCCACCGAGCCCCTCACGCCCCCTCGCCGCCCCGCCGCCAACCCTCACCTCGACGCCCCTCCTCGGCGTCCCCTCCCTGCTCCACTCGCTCACGAGCAGCGCCGCGCCCCCGTCGTCGCGCGCCTGCGCCGCCGCGAGCGCCGCGAGCCGCTCTGCCTCGAGCCGGCGCGCGACAGCCGGCAGGACGCGGTCCTCGGGCCGGCGCACCTTTCTCGGCGCCGCTCCCTCTGCGCCCCGCTCTCCCTCACCGTCAGCCGCCACACCCGCACTGCCACCCTCGTCGTACGCGAACGCGAGCTCGCCCTGGCTCGTGCGGTACACGAGCGGCGCGGGCGAGTCGTGCCAGTGCGGGAGCGGCGGTGGCGGCGCGTCGGCGTCGTTCGCGGCGGCGGCGAGGCGCGCTGCGGCGCGGATCCGGTCCGACGACGGGCTGCGGCGCATCGCGCCGGTGGTGGTAGAGGCCGAGGGGTGCGTGCGCGGGGAGGAGGTCGAGAGGCTCTTGCGCCGAGGAGGAGGGCCCGTACGGGCGCCGGCTGAGGGCGAGGCCGACGCGCTGTTGGAGGTACCTGGAGCGCGGCGGGTGCTGCGGGACGAGGCGGGCCCGCCGGCGGGCGCACTCGAGGACGAGGGCGAGGGCGTGCCGAGCGCTCTGCTCGGCGACTGGGTGACGGCGCGCCGGCGCGGCGTCGGCGTCGAGGTCGAGGTCGGGGCGCCTGCTGCCGATGCGGTAGCGGGCGCGCGAGGCGAGCTGCGCGACTTGGCGGATGCGGGTGAGGGAAACTCGAGCGGCTTGGGCGTGCGCGTTGTTGGCGTCGGGGTGGAGGAGGGCGGCGCGGGCGAGGTGCGGCGCGCCGCGACCGGCAACGCTGTCGGTGTCGCCGTCGTCACCGGTTGCGCGCCGACCTGGAGCGTCTCCCACCCGTGCCCGTCATCGTCGGCGCTCAAGTCGAGGCCGTCGTCGTGCGCCGGGGTCGGCGCGGCCGGCGACGCCCCTCGTCGAGGGTGCTCGGGGCTCGAGCTGCGACTCTTGGTAGCGGCGGCGGTCGGGATGGCCGACGGGCGGCGCCTGCCCGGCGGCTGCGAGGGCGAGCGGTGCTGGAGCGGCGAGGCCAAGGATGTGGGGGAGGAGGAGGCGGATGGCGGTGGTCGAGGGGGCGAGGACGGCGGTGGGTGCAGGGCGGGGTGGGAGCGTTTCGAGTGGAGCTGTTGGGCGACTTGAAGGCTGTCGGAGTAGGCGCATCAGCTACCTTGAGCGAGAGAGGGAGAGAGAGGGAGAGAGAGGGGGAGGGAGACGGACGACACGAGGTCCTCGAGGTCTGCGGTCCAGTCTGGGGTGGTCGGGAGGGGGTCGTAGTCGTCGTCGGCGTCGTGGTGGAGGGACAGTGCGAGCAGGTCGTCGTGGTCGACGGTGGGTGCGCGGCGAGGGGCGACGACTGCGGCCGCCATCGACGACGAGGAGCGGGCGGGTGTCGAAAGGTCACGGCGAGGGCATGCGCTGCTTGAGTTAGGCTGTGCGGGTCGGTGTGTGCTGGTGCTACCCAGAGCTCAGCTGTCTGTGTAGATCGAGAGAGACGAGGATCAAGAGAGGTTGGCCGACTCGAAGACCGCTCGGCTCTCGCTCCCGCTCTACCGAGCCCAGCATGACAGACGCAGAGCAGCAGCAGCCTCACCTGAGCATCCTCCGCATCAAGCGCAAACGCACAGACCAGCCCACCCCGCTCGACGCCCTCGGTCCGTCTCCCTCTCCTCCTCCTCTGTAACCTCCTCGCTCATCTCGCACAAACCCCTGCAGTAATCGAGCATGCTCAGCCACCTTCTATCAAGCGCCGCAAGAACAACCCGGCCGACCCCGCACCCGAAGCTGCCGCCGCTCCCTCTCGAGGTCCGCCCTCTCTCCGTCCCTCACCTCCCTTTCGTCATCTCTCAACCCGCTCACCGCCACTCCCGCGCACCGCGCAGGCATCTTCCGCTTCGCCGAGACGGTCCCCCTCGACTCGTTCTCGACGCCAACCAAGACGCGCTCGCTGCGGGACCGCATCCAGTCGTTCCTCGCCCACCCACCGCCGGCCCTCTCGCGCCAGCACAGCTCGGCGTCCCTGCGCTCGCTCGCCCGCGACCGCGAGTCGTCGCCGTCGTCGCTCAAGCCTCCGCCCACCGCCCAGGGACCCGGCTCGCCCGCAAGGCGCAAGCTCCCCTCGGCGTTGCGCGCCGCCCGCGAGGCCGCCGCATCTGGCTCGGCGCCTTCCTCGCCGCTCGGGCCCGCGTCCCTCGCCGCCACCTCGTCCTCCTTCGGCCTGTCCCCCACCACCACCACTCCCTCCTCCCGCGCTCCCGCCGCGCCCCCCGCTCCGCCCTCGCGCGCCGCCGCCGCACACGCCTCGCGCGCCGCCCTGCGGTACCGCGTCGTCGAGCGTCGTCGCGCCGAGTCGTACGCCCTCTCGCGCGAGCGCGAGGCCGACGAGGTGAGGAGGGGGTTGCGGCCGCCGACGGTGCGCGACTCGAGGGAGGTCGAGCGCGAGAGGGACGAGGCGGAACGCGACGAGAGGGAGAGGAGCGAGGGGCTGAGGATCTATGAGGCGGTGGTCGAGGGTGGGAGCAGCGGGGCGGGTGTGGGCGTGGGAGCGCGCGAGGCGGTGACGAGGGGCGTGGCGCCGGGGAGGAGGAGGAAGAAGGGGACGGCGGCGCAGCGGGACACGGTGCGCCGGCCGCAGGCGGGCGAGGACGACGAGCAACACGACGGCGACACGGCCATGGACCGCTTTGGCGAGATGCTCGACGAGTACCTCTCTCGTGCGTCCTCGCTCTCTCTTCTCCCGCCTCGCGTCCAACCGTCCGCGCCGCTCACACGCACACACTCCTCGCCCGCAGTCCAGGAATCCATCACGCCCTCCTCGTCGGGCACCCTGCCGCCCTCGTCGGCGCCAACGCGCTCTCGCGCACCTGGTGGTGCGCCGGCCTCGGACGACGCCGACAGCGACGACGACGACCCGAACTCGGACTCGGACTCGGGCGCGTCGTTCGTCTACGACGTCTACTACCGCGCCGCGCCCGCTCCTGCGCCCGCTCCTGGTCCTGCGCCCGGTTCCGCGTCCGCGTCCGCCTCCTCGGCGACGGGGGGCCCGAGCGCGCACGGCGTCGCGTCGAGCGAGCTACCCGGCGGCGAGGTCGGGTCGGTCGGCGCGTGGGACGTGAGCTCGTTGGCGGGCTTGACGAGGATCGGGCAGCTGTGCGTCCCGCCCGTGTTCTGCTCGCTCGGTGTCGAGGTCGATGTCGATGTCGAGCCTGGGGTGGTCGAGCAGCTACTGACACTATCCTTTGGCCCTCTCTCCCTCTCTCCCTCTCTCCCTCCCGGCGCATCAACAGCGCCGGCCTCGACCCCGACGAGGACGACGCCGCGCTCCTCCTGCTCCACTCGGCGTCGGCGTCGGGTGCGGCGGCGCGAGGCGGCGGGACCGGCAGTGGCGACAGCGACGAGGAGGAGGACAATGCGGATCAGGACTCGAATGGTGAGTTTGGCGTCGAGAGGGGCGCGCGCGCTCTCTCTCGCTCTCTCGCTCTCTTGGACCTCTGTCGCTCTCGTGCGCGAGCGAGACGAACCTTGACTGACTCGTTGCCGCCCCCTCTCTCCCCTCCCTTCCTCGCCCTTCCTCCCTCCCCCTTCCTCCCTCCCTCCCCTCTCCCTCGCTCATCCCCTCGTCCTCTCCTCCCTCCCCCTCCCTCCCGCTCGCCCGACCCGCAGAGGAAAACGACTACCGCAACGACTACCCGGACGAGGAGGACGCCGACGCCGACGCCGACGCCGATGCCGACGAGGGCCTCGACGCCGACGACGCGGCGGCGTGGCGCGAGAGCGTGAGGGGGTTGGGCTTGGGGCCGCGAGCGCGAGTTGGGGAGGGTGGGTGGAGCGACGAGGAGGACGAGCGGGAGGAGGAGGAGGACGACGAGGACGAGGGGATGAGCGACGAGGGGTGGAACGACTGAGTCTCGTTTCGCTGCTTGGTCGGGCCTGCAACAGCGCGCGCTCTGTTCGCCCTCGACACGTCGTGCTTCCCTCTCTCTCTTTCGGGAGGCGCACCACGAGAGCCTCTCGGAGCCCGACAGCGGCCGAAGGAGAAGGAAAGCGCACTCAACAGTCCGGCGATGCGTTTTCACGACGCGCGCGAAGTGGGGACCTACCTACCTGTCGTCCTCGACCGCCGCGCGCCCCTTGCCTTTGCCCTTGTCCTTGCGCTCCTCGACGTCGACCTCGTCCTCGGCCTCGGCCCGCCGCACCCGCTTGGACGGCGGGCCCGCGCTTGCGCTCTTGCTCCTGTCCCTGCCCCTGGACGCGCTCCTCGACCCGCTCCTGCTCCTCGACCCGCTCGCGCTCGCGCTCCTCGACCTGCTCGCGCTCGCGCTCCTCGACCTGCTCGCGCTCGCGCTCGCGCCCCGACCCCGACCCCGACCTTTGGCGCCCCGGCGCTCGACCGACCGCGAGCGCGACCTCGACCTCGAAACGCTCCTGCTGCGACTGCGAGTGCGGCTGCGGCTCGCCGACCGCCCGCGCTGCGCCTTGCGCGACGTGCGCGCGGGGGAGCGCGAGCGGGAGCGCGACCGAGAGCGAGAGCGGGACCGCGAGCGCGAGCGCGAGTCGCTCCTCGACGCGGACCGCGAGCGAGAGCGAGAGCGCGAGTAGCTCCTGCTCGACCCGCTCCTGCTCCTGCTCGACCCGCTGCGGCTCGACCCGCTCGACGACCTGCTCGAGCCGCCGCTGCTCGACGACGTCGACACGCTGTCGCGCCTCCTCGAGCTGCGGCCACGCTCCTTGTCGCCGCCGGAAGCGGCGCCGAGTTTGGCGAGTCGCCGCGCCTCGTTGGCAGCGAGGATGGCGGCAGCTGTGCCGGCCCTGCGGGCGAGGACAGAGGGAGGGTGGTTAGTTGTGGAGGTTAGGAGAGAGGGAGAGAGAGGGAGAGGGGGGCCAAACGCACTTGGGCATCTCCTCGACACTGGGGGCCGAGGGCGGCCTCGCGTCGGTCAACTCGGGGCGCAGTTTCGGGTTCTTGAGGACCTGGGTGCGGGTCGGGCGGGGCTTGTACTCGCGCTGGTTGGTGCACTCGAACGTGTAGTGGCCGAGCTGGTTGCACTTTTGGCAGCTGTGTCGAGTGGGTCGCGTGGTCAGTCGGGGGCTGAGTGGTGGAGAGGGGACGGCCGAGGGGAAGGAGGAGGACAGGGGGAGAGAGGAGGAGGGAGGAGAGGGGACGGACCGAGTGGAAGCGGATGCGGCGGGCTGCTTGCCATAGCGTTGACCTCCCCTTGAACCGCCGCCTGGAGGTCGACCTGCGCCGCCTGCTGCACTGCCGCCTGGTGCACCGCGGCGGGACGAGAGAGAGAGGTAGTTCGTCTGCATCTGGGGCGGGTCGGTCGCGGGTGGGCTTGTCGGGGAGAGGATGGGATGGAGCTTGGTGTGGACTGGCTCGAAGCTCTGGTGGCTCTGATCGAGGTTGTCGGGCGATGAGGAGGAGGAGGAGAGGGGGGACAGACAGTGTCGCCCCGTCCTCATCACGCCGCCGCTCTCTCTCTCGCTCACTAGGGCCACGTTGAGCGCGACAGTCATGAACACACTCGACTGGGCACCACCACGACCCGCCGCACCCGCGCAACCCACCGCGTCGCAAGGACCGCACGCTGCGTAGCAGCTGGTCACTT